GAGTTTTCAATGATGGTCTAGCTCAGATCGGCTCGCAAATTCAACTGTGAAAATTTGGGAAGGTCTATAACACTAATTACAGTCCTGTTTCTATGGCTTAGTGTGGCCTAAGGTAACGTTGTTGGCTGTGGTTAGTTAAAACGAATGTATCTGCAGTATAAAAAAATAGTAAACATACTTATTTTTGATGTTGAGTAATTTATACACTTTTTGATACCCGACAATGAGTGGTTTTCCATGTTATTTTACACTGTTTGTAAACACTCAAGTCCGATGAAATTATATTATTTTATCAGCATGCTAGTTACAATAAACTACAGGTAATCACAAATGTTGACTTTGAGTTTCAGTTCATCCGTAAACAGTGGTTGCTTGTTGATTCCAAATACTTTAGAATCCCTTTCATGTCCACACAGAACTGCGTCTACAAATTAGGCTGTATCGATTGTGATGCCTTTTATATTGGAGAGTCATTCCGCGAAATCTTGACTAGAGCCAAAGAACATATTAGGCACACAAAGAAACCTCCTAACAATCCTGTAGAATTGAACCAACTTCAAATTAAATCGGCAATAGCAGTTCATGCCATTTTCGACAACCACCAAATCGATTCTAAAAATATCAAAATATTGCAAAAAGGCTTTTCCAACTACAGAGAAAGGAGGGTAGCTGAGGCGTTCCATATAATGCTTAATCCTACTTCTCTTAATAAAAGAGAAGGCCTTACCATACATTCTACTTAGACCACCTATCCTAACCATTCAGTCTGATCGTATTTACAATTTCACACTATCATATTACAAATTTAAACTCTATCCCTTCTTACCATAAAGGTCACACCAGTTTTCATTCTCAAACAATACACACATACATACACACAGATTTACATACATATCACGTATGAATCACCTTGACAGAAATGACAAGACATCAACTTGTTCAGACCTGTTTTTGATTGATCAAATATTATTCTTGCATTGTTCCGTTGTACTATTTTAACTTGGATTAATTTTAATCTGGTTATTTATTCTCTGAAGAAGTGACTTACACCAAGTCACGAAACGTCAGAAAATCTAATTTTCTACTCATTGGGATATCACAAATGTATTATTTTTATTTATAACAATCAACCCAATGCTCAATTTATTCGAAATTATCAAATCAAACCTTGGTAATGATATCTACTTCAGAATAACGTTCTCTGTGATATTGTGCTAAGCTGGTTTTCTCTACCTTTTTATAAATGTGCACTGTTTGTCACGTTTTGTTTAGTACGACAACGTTTACCACTAAGTTCATTTTCATTGTGGGAATTTATATTAGATAATGATCTGTCGGAATCTGGGGCAATGCTAACCATTGAGGCGGACTACTACAGGATATGATTTTACGGGATAGAATGCCATACATAGGCGCTAGAAATAGAGAATTCTCTCCACCAGTGTTGACCAACCGATGATCAGACCTGTTTGAAAGCTTTATTTAAAGCTACTTACTTTTACTGGCAAAAATGTATTATTTGATTTATTATATTATCATGGATACGAATCCAACGTTTTATTATTACGTCTCAACTATGTGACTCTTTGAAGATCATTCATAAAACGAATTTGAATTTGTTTTACAAAGCCTGACTATGAATACTTTTCGTAAGAAGTTAATATTCTTACTCGAGTAGTGTTGAATTTCACAAATTCATCGACCATGTGGCTAAATACGAAGGCAGAAAATACATCGGTGGGTGAACATCATGCGTTAAATTATATATGACTGACCAAACAGTTGAGCAGATTTTAGGCGCGAGGCTTTTGTCATATTAACCCTAACTTGAGATGTATTTTTTAATGTACATATGTAGCAGGATTGTTGTTTATTGACGAACCTTTATTTGTACATTCACAATTTTTTATATGCACCATCATTGCTTGAGAATACTACACACACTTCCATCAGTCGTTTTTCCTCTTGGCTTAATTTCTTGATTTTGTTTTCTTGTTATTAACTGTTACGATAAACGTCCATATATTTGACGTTTGTAGTTTTTCTTGATCGCGTATTCAGTTGTGACAGTTGTGAACAGAAAGTTTGTGTAATTCAACTAATGGAGTAAGAAGTTGTAAATCGAGTCGACACTTAGAGATGTTTGGACGGAACATAGAACAATCTTGGATACAAAGAGTTGATCATGTGTTTCACGGTAGCACGTATTGTGCGAGGGTGTTAATGATAACCTAGGCCATAGACGCACAAAAAAGTTCGAAATGACGGATTTGGAAAACCTTCATTGACGTGTATACACAAAGAACCTGGTAGATGACTGAGACATGAAATCCATAGTTTGTTTCATAGACACTAGGAAGACAACCATTCTACTGTCTCACTCTCAAAGTTATAAGTTTTAGGTGACCTGATATTAAACGTGAAATACAGAAGTGAAAACTAAGGCACTGTATTTGGACGTGAAATCCAATCAGTAAGGAGGAAACAAAGCAACCACTTTCTGTCATCTAACCTGCCAAGAAGCATACATTTTCAAGGTCATTCCTAGAAAATGTAACTAGACATTATGTAAGCTAGACTTGCTTAAATGGATAAACTGACCATATTCCTCATTAATTCCTTCCTATTCGACGTTTGTTAGAGAAATCCAACTAGAGTTTTACTTATCTAATGAGAGATAACATACCCAAGTGTTTGTCCGATGCACAGTAAGACGTTCAAGAGAATGGTTTTTGGCGAGACTATAATTAATAGACACTAAGAATGCTTATCTACAAATTTGGACTAAATGAGGGTTATAAACTAATGTAAGAAAGTAGAATTATGATTCACAGTTGATGGTTAGGGTTAGGAATTAGGTTTAGGGTTTTCATCACGAATTGACACCAAACAAAATGCTATTCAGCCAAATGGATGAATGAATTTCGCGCAAAAATCCAAAACCTCTCATGTTAGATATGATGGGTCGGTCCATGAAATATTGTTTCACCGAGTTCATCAATGATAGAACAGTATATGATGCAGCACTCCTTTGTTTTTCATAAGCAGATAATTGGTGAATCATGATCAAATCGTAATTTTATATGGGATACTGGTAGGTTTTAAAAAAATCATGGCCCAGTGCCAGCGACGTGGAGAGCTTATCAGAAGGGTCTTGATGAAAAGGTCAGTCGACGGTGATCAGGAGTGACCTAATTGTCAAGCTCATTTGATCGCGGTCAATGGGTCAATTTCCTATATCACTCCATTTCTAGCAAGGGATAGAGTGGTGTGTATGGGTGAATATATGTGCACTTTATTCGGTGATCCAATCCACTTTCTATTTCACTCTTGTATTCTCCACCAAGTAGTCAGTTGGGGGGGGGGTTAGCGAGTATCATACCGTGCGTGAGCAACAGATTTCGGACACCACATGTCACAACAATCAACAGGTAATAATGTCCCTCATTTTCAGCCATAGCATTAACCACCATTCATATGAATGTGCGAGCAAACATTTACTCAAATAATTATTGTTTGACTTTTATGTCCGACGAAGAATAAATGAATGGTAACTGCCAGGAATTATTTATAGACTACTATTACATATACTCATAATGGATGATTATTAAATTTTGTACATATGTTCGTATTTCCTTTATCATAAGTTTTTGTTTGACCTATTAGGTACTGTTATATGATTTCTCATTCTTAAATTATTACCAGTTTATTATATACATCCAGTCTACCCATTTTAGGTACAGTTTAGGGTTTTTCACAAAGTCCAATAGTCTTCCTCAAAGTATGGGGGAAAACCCAAAGTTTTAGGCAAATATTGGGGAACTTTCCCAGATGTGTGGAAATTTTGGAGCCTTTGTGCCACTTCCTCAAAATTTCCCCAAAACGGATTAAATTTTCACTGAAAATGGGAGATTGGGCAGGCGCTCACATCCGCAGCCACTTTTTAACTGGTCTTGTATAATTGTTATTTTTTGTTTTACGGGGTAATGCTGACTGGTTTGCTTGTATACAGACTAGGTACATCTGAAATAGATTGTTCATACAGTGGAGGCCTAGATTGCATTCTGAACCCAACGGGAGGGGCCATGGGAGAAGGACCAGTAAGGACTCAGAGTTCTCGCAAGACTGCCAGTGCCGGTCGACCCGACCGTATCTGCTACCTTGACGCGGTGGTTGGGTTTGCCTATCGTGATGTCCCAACCAAGATGTACTGGCTGGAACCTATGTTCCTGTACTTTCTACCATGTCAAGCGGGTCGATCGGAGAACGGTAAGACTAAAAGCAGCAACTCAAGGTCTGAGGGCGAAGTCGTAATGCTGACTGTAGAGAGGTGTGAGAACAGTCAGGCGTTTTTATCAGACAACCAGCATCTGCAGCGATGCTGCCGTCCCCGGAGGTAAAGCCCTTTGAAGAACTGAGTTAACACATTAAAAATTTCCACAAGAACGCTGTGCGTGACTGGCCTCAAGCAGTTGTCCGTTGGGCTCTGCGATCACGCTCCCAGGTCGTTAAGACCAACACTAATCCGATTTTTTTTTCAGGTTCCTCAATAAATACGTTTCCATAGTGTGGGAAGCCGGGAAGTGACATCAGCTGTCATACTCATAACAACACACGAGACCAAGCTGGTCACAACTAGGTCATTCCTACACCTCCCAATAAATCTTTTATCTCTATGACTAACCCTATACAAACGATTCGAGTAGGTGGAATGTTATTCCTGGACTTCTAAAACCACGCTATAAACTACATGTAGGAGCTTTTAACGTCCGAACATTGTGCCAAATAGGACAACAGGCTTCCTTAGCTTGGACTTTATAATCCCGCGCCATCGATGTGTGCTGCGTCTCCGAAACCTGCATACAGGATCCGAGTAGCGGTATCCATTTGACCTCACCATGCCAAAATAAAGAACCGACTCGACTCATACTCCGTGTATCTGGAAGCCCTGATTCTGCTTCCCGTGGCCTCGCCGGCGTAGGCATAGCTTTGAGTCCTAGGGCGGAACTAGCTCTCTTAGAGTGGATCCCAGAAGACAGTCGTTTGTGCGCTGTCCGACTAAACGGAACAGTAAGGACTCGGAAAGATGGGGACACTCGTCGTCTCTGCCTATTCTCCCACTGACTGCAGCTCAGATGATGTAAAAGATGAGTTGTACAGAAAGCTCTCCTATCTTCTCCGAAAAGCTAGGCGCTCGGATGTAGTAATAGTGGCCGGTGACTTTAATGCTCAAGTAGGTAAACTAAGCGATAGGGAAAGACACCTGGGTGGATCTTATAGCATCATGGCTCAAAAAACAGATGATGGCGACCGTCTGTTGCAGCTATGCTCAGATAACCGCCCGTTTCTTGCTAATACTAACTTTAAGCATAAGGAAAAACATCTTTTAACATGGCGACCACCTAATTCGTCCCAACGTTGGACCCAAATAGATCACATCGCCATCAGCCACCGATCGAGGGACTCGATAGAAGACTGTCGCTCATTCTGGAGCACATGCTTAAATTCAGATCATGCTCTAGTACGAGCGCGTATTTGCCTGCGTCTTACTGGACGTAGGAAAGACGCTGCAAGGAAACCTCTTAGGAGCCTACTTAATGATAGTCAAGCTAAGAGTATATTTCAGGAACAAATAGAAAACCGGTTAGGCAGCCATGTATGTGATGCCCATCCCGAGGCAGCATGGAATGATATCCGAAAAGCTGTGGAAACAGCAGTGATATCTGCTAGTAAGGTAAACCACAAGGTTAGGGAGCAACACTGGATCTCAGCAGCATCTATCGCACTGATAGATGCTCGAAAACTCATTCCACCTGGCTCTGAACATAATGAAGAGCGGAGTCAGCTTAAGCGCAAGCTGACAAGAAGTCTACGCAATAATCGTGAACAGTGGTGGGTAGCGAAAACAAGAGAGGTGGAAAAGGCAGCGGCAATAGTTAACAGCAGACAATTGTTCAGACTTGTTAAGGAAACCGTTATTAGGAACCCGACTGTTAGCGAAACCCTCCCAGAGAAAGATGGACATATTATACATTCTCAATCCAGGAGATTGGATCGATGGGCAGGACACTTTAGGGATCAGTTCAACTGGCCTTCAGCCATACTTCGGCTTCCCACGATCTCCAGTTAACCTGAATGGCAAGTCAATGTAGGTCCTCCGACTCTACGAAGTTGAAAAAGCAATAGGAAATCTGAAGCGAGGGAGACCAGCAGGCCCGTATAGGTTTACTCCTGAAATTTTTAAGGATGGTGGTCCAGTATTAGCAGTGGGATTAACTGAGGTTTTAGGTAGAATTCGGGAACTGGACGTAATCCCAACTGACTGGTCTCAATCACTGACTGTGCCAGTCTATAAGAAAGGACAAAAGTCCTCTTGTGACAATCATAGAGGAATCAGTTTGACTAATGTAGTGTCTAAAATATTTGCTTCAATAATGCTTCGACGCCTAACTAAAGCTCGTGACGAGAAGACTGGAGAAAACTAGGCTGGTTTTCGACCTGGACGTGGTTGTATAGACCAGATATTCACACTACGTCAGGTTCTACCACACTGACACGTTCAGACGCCCCACAGTCGTAGTATTTCTCGACCTTAAAGCAGCATATGACTCTGTTGATCGTAAGGTTCTACGGCAGTGTTTGTCATTGAAAGGAGCACCAAAGAAGTACATTAACCTTGTAAAGGTTCTCTACTCGAACACAACTGGTCGAGTGAGAGCTTGTGGCGAACTGTCATCAGAATTGATTACCTCAAATGGTGTTCGTCATCGCTGTTCACTCTATCCAATTTTATATAGCTTTGTCGTTGACGTGCTTCTAGAGATAACACTTTCCTCATCTAAATTTCCAGGAGTTGAACTTTCACTGGGAGATTCACTTGTTGACTTAGAATATGCTGATGACATAGTTTTATTTGGTGAAAACGCTGACAAAATGCAGAGTTTTCTGATCACCGTAAGCAACAATGCAAGCATGTTCGGCATGCGATTCTCTTCCTCGAAATGCAAAATGTTGCTTCAGGATTGAGTTGCATCGACACCCGAACTAATGATAGGGAGTGAAGTAGTTGAGCGTGTCGACCGCTTCACTAATCTGGGAAGTCTCATCAGCCCTTGTGGTCTGGTGTGTGACGAAATGTCAGCACGGATACAGAAGGCTCGACTAGCTTTTACCAACTTGCGTCATTTATGGCGTAGGCGAGATATCCGTCTATCAACCAAAGGACGAGTTTACTGCGCAGCAGTTCGTTCCGTCCTAGTTTATGGCAGTGAAACATGGCTGGTCAGAGTAGAGGATATCCGTAGGTTACTAGTATTTCATCATAAATGTCTTCGAAATATTGCTCGTATATCCTGGGACCATCGAGTAAGTAACGCAGTTGTTAGGAAACGGGTACTAGGTATGGATGGCAAATCAATTGATGAAGTGGTGAAACTTCATCAGTTGAGATGGCTGGGACACGTGTTACGTATGCCCAACAACCGACTGCCCCGACGAGCGATGTTTTGTTGCATAGGAGTAGATTGGAAGAAAGGTAGGGGCGGCCAGACTAAAACGTGGCTCAAGTCCATGAAGTCACTGACAAGTGGACTGAGCCATGTTGGTAGGTGTAGACTACCTGGTTGGGGACCGCTAGATGACAGCAACCGATGGTTGGAGACCCTGAGTGACATGGCTCAAAATCGTTTGCAGTGACGCAGGTGCATCTGCAGTGAATCGAACACGAGTGGGGACAATCGAATGTGTTTGAAAATATTACAGGACTTGTTAGTAAAATCTAACAATCATAAAGTAAATGCTTAATTTGCAAGATGTCTACCAATTGTCTCAAAATGACCCAGACTCCATTGTTCTTAGATTTTCATGCAAATTGCATCCTGTTACCATTCTTGACTGTTCGATCCCCTGCCAGACCTTCTGTTCATGACTACCATCATATACTACTTATGTCAAAATGAGTAGCACACATCCACTCTTTGTGTTCTCCCAAATTCTAATCTTCTGAATTCTTCATGTTCCTTTCTTTTTTTCTTTCTAAGTTTATTTCACTGGATTATACGCCTTGAATAACATCTTCAGACCCTAATGTTTCCGATTACTACTTATGTGGTGGTGCTACGTATATTGACATAAGTAGTATCTAAGGTGAGTCAGGAATGTAATGTCTGGCAGCAGAAGGTCGCGAAGATCAAGGAAGGACGAACAGGAATAGAAAGCAATTAGTATGGAAATGCAAGAACAATGAAGTCCGAGACAATTATTGAACATTTTGCAAATTAGGTATTATAGTACAGTTTTTCTATTTTACCAAGTAACTCTGTAGTTTTGTGCTAAATATAACTCGGTTGTCCTCACCTGTGTTCTCCTTCACTACACTTATACTTTTGTTACCTCCACCACTATGGGATTTGAATCGACAATTTGTCTCTGTGCTAATGTGGTATGGCAACTCGAACTGATGTACGTACGTACGAAGTTCTACGTTGTTGCTGACTGACTGAGTGATGCTTGATGTGTCGTCGGTTTGGCACAAAAATGAGGTCATATAAGTTGATGATCTGATTGGCGATTTATCCACGTGATAGTTGACAAGAGCAAAAGTCATCACACTGATAACATTGAAATTCCTTTGACTGCAATGAAATAATGCATTTCTTAACTGAATACCTTTGGTAATAACGTAATTAGATTTAGATGGGGAACATTGGTCACTGAAAATCTTAACCAAACTTTTTGACATCACTCATGAACAATAAACAAACTAGTGTATATTATATATGTGTTTTTCTAACCGTTTCTAGTTATGGATATTTATTGTTTGTTATTATTAGGCGAGAGGAAATTTGTTTGGAATAATATACTTATTCTTGTTTATAAGGACATGATATTGAAACTCTGACTAGACTTACACTTTATCAGAATTTCATGTAAAAGCTTGCGACTTTTGTGATCAGACTTGTCATCAGTTTATTAACTAGTTTACGAATAATGTACAAAACCTTAATAAGACGAAAGTTAGGGCATGTGCGCTAGCCAAAAATTTTTTAAATACTCACTTTGACTAGAGTTTGTTATTCACAGAATGTTATTTTGTCATTAAGCCAAATAAAATGACATCACAACAGATTAAGTGTGTTAAAATGTCTGCACAAAGATGTATGACGTAAGTAAAGCAGTCTATATGCTTCACAGGACTAAGCTGGATACAGTAATTAGTCCATTTCTTAAAAAAACATTTCGTTAAGTGTTTTATTAATTCTAACTTCATTGACAGTTTGGATCAGTGTTAGGATGAACATTTACTTCGCAACGTTTGTTGCTGGTAATATAATTAGTTGTAACTTAGAACGGCTTGGAGATGACGAAAAACTTTAAAACAATAAATTCACTTTATATCGTATTATTTGAAATAATTTACAAGAAGTGACACCTTTACATATCAATAACTTACAGGAACGTCTTCCTGATCTACGGAAATGTTGGTTGTAAGAGAGCTATTAATCTCAGTATCTAACATAAATTATGTATGAAGTTCAGTTTTATAGCTTCACTTTCAACTGATAAGAATTATTGTATACATCAAATTTCAGTTACTGAAGATAGAAAGAATTAATTTCGTTCACTCTCTTCTCGATTCATTCTACGGCTAATGAATAAGCATCAGATTAGCCGAAGCAGAATATAATTTATGATGGTTAGGTTGAAACAGGAAATTGATACAGTAATTCATTGATCTTTGACTTCAGTCTTTTGGGAAATTTCAGACTCACAGGTTATGAGCTACATCTCAAGAAACGTACATTGTTCGTGGAGTTGAAGTTTGACATTAACACCGTCGGATGCCGGCTCAGTGGTCTAGTGGTTAAGTACTCGGGCGCGAGACCAGTGGGCCCTGGGTTCGAATCTCGCAGGGGGCGAGGTCGTGGATGCGCACTGCCGAGGAGTCCCACAATAGGACGAAACGGTCGTCCAGTGCTTCCGGGTTTTCCATGGTGGTCTAGCTTCAACTGACTCATGATATTAACCATTGAAAATACATATTAATGCTTGGATTATGTTTCATTTTTTTTGTGTTAGTCTGCTAAAGCAAGTTGACTTACTATTGGTCTTACAGTAAATGCACAAACTAAATCAGTAGTTCTTTAATATTTTTGGGTTTGTTTCAGTGTTGAATTTATTCCTAAGAAGGAAATACTGAATCTCTAAAACTGGTTTATCCTCTGATTTTATCGAAGATTGTGATAGCTTCCAATGGCTACCAAAAGTCAAAATATCAATTTCGTATTTGAGTAAGATACAATAACCTCTGTAGATCACATCGCATACATCAACTCAACCTCACTAAACTCAGTTCTCTTCAAAGAGTAAGCTGTGTATTCTCTAAACTCACTGCAGCACTAAACAGTAATAATTACCACTAGTTAATACTGAGGATGAAAGTGTTAAGATATATCAAGCCAAAATTTAGCAAATAAATTGTTTAATTTACTTTTTTTTATGAAGGGGTTATGTCTATCACTCCAAAACACACGTAATAATTATACTATGCTCTCAGTGTATTTATGTTTATCGTATACTATTTGCTACTTTTTAAAACGATATCACCATTGGTCATTAATTTTACGTACATCTTATACTGAGATGGGAAACACAACCAAAACAAAGAAGTAAACAACGACAAATTTAACGTCAATAAGAACCAATCAACGTCGAGGTGCACAGAACAAGCTTTGAGACACATATGGAGAAATTCAAACACTTCACTTCTATCTGAAGTTTGTGCTGATGATGTCGTTCAGAAGAACGATGAAAGCTCCACGACCAAACCATCCAGCTCAGAGAACGAAACTCCACCAAAAACATCTTATACTTTTCATTGACAAAATCTTTGTCCTCCTTATTCAGTCAAATAAAATACCATTATGATTTTAAACATAACTTCTCCTTTTGTATTAATCTGATCACACTTATAAACTAGTGAAGATTCAGGGATTATTTATATTTATATATGTGGTGACAAGCTATCTGTTAATGTAATATTTTGAAATGTGTGAACTTAAAATAGTTAATCAAGAAGTTGAAATCAAAGAGATAGGAAAAAATAACACGAAATTTTGTAAATCTCTTATCAGTTACGTTTTCATAGTTTAAGAAGTCAAATTTAACAATAAAACATGTCAGAATACAAAGGTGATTCAAGATTTGTTTTTGTTTTTTCATAAAGTACTGGTGGATAGCATAATTTACAGTGAACAATCAGGAAAATGATACATTTTCAAAAATATAAAATCAAAGCACGTGCATAACATGAGATTCTGTTTAATGTCACTATTGACCAAAGATTTTTCATAGTTTCTTTGTACAGTTTCTATGAGCGATTAAATTTGGATAGATTTACAGCTTCTTTAAAGTGTCTATTAAATGTTATAGCAGGTATAAATTTAGTTCATACACAGAAATATCTTACTGTACAATTTTGTAGTGAAGTAACATAACAGGATGCGGATTGTTATAAAATACAACCATATGAAGAGTAGTTGCCCATATTTTGATGTGTTATCATATTATCTGAAACGTTTCTGGGTATACCTAAACGTTGGTCAGTTGCGTGTAAATGATCTGCACCAGGACCTTCTTGGTTAATAATATTCTTATTTTCATCTGCTATATGATAATATGGTCTATTGACGGTAGGAGTGGAACTGTTAACTTGTATGTAAGGGATATGGGAACCAGTAGTTTGAAAATCATTTGGTGGTGGTATAGTCGATCCATTTGACGGAAACTCTATGCTCATATTTCTGCAGTCATTGTTATTTTGATTTGATTGTAGCCAATTATTTTCCAATTGTGCCATATACTTCACTGGTGATTCCTGATAGTAACGTAATGATGAGACCTCGGAACCCTGTGAAAACGAAGTAACAAGAGAAGAAACTGAGTTTGTCTTGTTTAGCATGAAAGACAAAGAAGTAAAGAAGACACACCAATTACTGAAATCCAGGGACAGAGGGAAAGGTGGGTAAGAACACTTTGAAAAACTTTTGAATAGACCAGCTCCACTGAATCTACCAGACATCGAAGCAGCACACATTGATCTTCCTACAGCTGTTACTTCAACAACAGTCGAAGAAATCAGGATGGCTGTCAGACAAATCAAGAGTGAGAAAGCAGGAGAATCAGACAACATTGCAGCTGAAGTACTGAAGTCAGACACAAAGGCAATTACAAACATGCTCCGTGTTCTATTCAGGTAAATTTGGGAGGAGGAAAAAGTGCCTACAGACTGGGATGAAGAATACCTAACCAAGATATCAAAGAAAGCAGATCTTGGCAAATGTGAGAGCTGCAGAGGCATCACACTGATAATAATACCAGAAAACGTTTTCAACAGTGTTTTGAACAGAATAAATGACTCAGTAGACGCCCAACTTCCAAACCGGATTCCGTAAGGATCGGTCGTTCACAGGCCAAATCGCTACACTACGGATCATCGTTAACAATCAGTTGTGTAGAACTCGTCACTATACATCAACTTCCTTGATTATGAGAAAGCATTTTACAGCGTGGATAAGAGAAGTTTATGGAAGCTTCCTCGACACTATGGTATACCTGAGGAAATAATCAACATCATACGGAATTCACGGGACGGCCTACACCGCAGAGTCGTGCATGGAGGACATCTGACAGATGCATTCCAAGTGATGACCGTTGCTTACGTCCTTCCCCTTTCATCTAGTGGTTGACTGGATTATGGAGACCTCAACATCTGAGGGGAAGCACGAAATACAATGGAGAGCCTAGATGCAGCTAGACGATTTGTACTTTGCAGACGACCTGGCTCTTCTATTTCATACACACCAAAGAAATACAATCAGGGTAGCAGTAGCCTCAGCAGCAATAAGTCCTAACATTAACAAAGGAAGAAGCGATATCCTGTAATACAACACAGGTAATACAAACCCAATCAAATTTGCTGGAGAAACTCTGGGAGAGGTGGAAAGTTTCAAGTACCTAACCAGCATCATCGGCGAACTAGGATGATACGATGCAGACGTAAAGGTAAGGATCGGCAAAGCAAGAGCAGCATTCCTACAGTTGGAGAACATATGCAACTCAAAACAACTGTCAGTCAACTCTAAAGTCAGGAATTTTCATTACGAACGGTAAGCCTGTTCTAAAGTACAGAGCTGAAACCTAGAGAACTACCACAACCATCATCAAAATGTACAAGTATTTATAAACAATTGTCTACGTAAGATACTCAATGTCCGTTGACCAGATACCATCAGCAACAACCTTCTGTGGGAGAGAACAAACCAGCTTCCAGATGAAGAAAAGACTGGGAAAAGACATGGGAGATCATGTAACTGCATCACAAGTTAAGTACAAACTTAGAATGCTGAAGTGGAAATGAAAAGAGGAAGGACAAAGAATACATTACGCCGGAGGTCGAAGGCTGGATGAATAGCACTTGGAAAAAGCTGGATAGGATTGCCCATGACAGAGTTGGTTGAAGGATCCTAGTTGTCGACTTATGCACCACGAGGGTTAACAAGGACAAGTCAGATTTGGTATAAAGCTTGAATTAAGCCTTGATCGAATTGTATGATTCTGTGCAGATTTCATGAACATTTTTTTTAACCTGAATACAAGGGTTTTCTGTATTGCTAACCATAAAGCTACTTTAACGATGGATATCAATTAATTTTATGGTATATTAAGAAAGAGATGGGGATTAGTTCGTACATAGAGTATTTCAGAGTGCTTTTTTATCTTCATTTTAACTCAACGTACAGCACCATTTCTATCGGATTTATGTTCCATCAAGTTGTAGTTTTTCACACTTCGTTTAAATTGTTCCTTTGAAAACTATTGAACTTCTTGTTACGCTTTCTTCTTAAGAAATATCTTGACTTCTGTTATACACATGTAAAATTAACTATTTTTACTTAGTTCGCTTGTTCTTCTTTAAGGTACCAACAAAATGACATATGCTTTAGCCTTAAATCTTGTTACTAAACTTTATTGTGCCAACTTAGAGTCTAGGATATCTTTGTTTTAAAAAAGTATCTTTTTGCAAGTGAATTGGTATTTCAATTAATATTTCTTTATATAATTATCTTATAGGTTTGTGGTAAAGATGGACTTGTTCAGTTAAAAGTACTAACCTTGTTCGTTTGTGTATGCTGCCGGTTGCTGAAAACATGAACATCAGGCAATTCAAAACTGTTCGTGAGATGTGATACAGATTGTTGTCCAAAGGAATTGTATGAATTTCTTGCTACTTGTTGTTCTGATGATGTGTATTCATCTAAAATTAATAAGTTTTGTGAAAAATAAGAATTTTTTTAACAAAGCATATTCGAAATCTAATCTAGTTTATCTAAACTTGAAAGCTTCAATTGATTCATGATCTCAACTATTAAAATTACTATACTGTCCACAAAATCCCTCCTGATACTAATCAACACATGCTCACTAGTGACTGGAGTTCTAGTGATAAGTAGTGACCAGTGGAGTTCAACCGTGTCTGCTGTGAGGTAGTTACCCACTGAAGACAATGGTGTACAGTGGCGCCATTTCGCAGATTGGTTGAAGTTAGACACTAACACCGTTGGATGCCGGTTCATTTGTCTAGAGGTCAAGCGTTCACGCGAGAGACTGATAGGTCCTGGGTTCGAATCGTGGATGCTCATTGCTGAGGAGTCCCATACTAGGACGAAACGGCTGTCCAGTGCTTGCAGGTTCTCCGTGGTGGTCTAGCTTCAACTGACTCATGTTCTCAACTATCAAAATGTATATTTTGATTTTGTTTATCTGAATGTTACTATCGATGAATAATTAGTTATAACCTCATGTCGTATAAATCTTAATTGTTCTTTATTCAGATACAATCTCAACTTATGGTATTGAAGCACTGATAAATTTAAGTGTTCAATGGTAAATAATGGAAGTTATGCATCTAATTCGAACTGATACACAAATCCTAGATGATCATGAAATTTCAATTCCCCTACCATATGGCCTGATAATAAATTATGCAATAATTTCATTTTTTTTCTTACGTAAAATTAAATTAGTGTATCTTCATATATGATTTTAATCGCCTCTTGTTAAATAATACTGATAGTTTCTCGCCTACAATATAAGGAAATATTGTTAACTTATTTCCTACTGAATTTGAACTACTCATCGACTAAATGTCAACTTCGAGCTTATTTGTATAGCTAAGATATTAACTATAGATAGAATTGAAATGTTCTCAGTAGTACGGTACTGTCCATTTGCTTTTTTATTAGCTATGATACCAATAAAATTATGTGAGTTAGTACCAGGAACTCGGAATGTAACGAAGTTCAAAGTCAGAAATTCAGATATGATCGTTTAATAGGATTTTTTCCAATTTAAATCTATTATTTTTCGTGGCTATTTTTTGAATAGCTCGTTTTGCACTACGACGTTGTTAAACATGTTATATTGTACACAAGCTATCTAAACTTCCAACAACTTTTCACAGAGATACAACACATTAATATTTCATTGGAATACTAAAAGTTAAATTTACCGCTTGCATGAGGATTGACACAATGCTTCCATGACGGAGCATTACCTCCATGAAAACTTGTAGTCATTCCATTTTGAATCCAGCTTCCTGAAGTCCTCGCGTTTGATATAAACAACTGTCCGTTTTGATGGGGACTCTGACTCATTATATTTAGTCCGAGGCCCCCGTTAGGTAACGTCAAGCCACCACCAAGATATCTGTAGTCACCCAGCAAGTTCGAGTGATGAGATCGTTGAAAAGTTGAAAGACTTCTTTCTAAACTATTAGTATTTCCATATCCATTCGACCTGATAGTGGAAACACTTGAAGCAGCTCCAGAATGTGGTGACCTAGTTCTGTTACTTTTTTCAGTCAAGGTTCTACCGATAGTGACAAGCCGTCTGTGAGTGGGTGTAGGGCGCTCTATATTTCTCAGATTTTGTTCTGTATCGTAATTGTGAGACGAACAACTATTGGGAAATACTGGGGGCATAAATTCTGAACAGTCATGATAATCTTGAATATTTTGAATCGCTTCTACCGTTCCATTATCTGGGTTTAAATAAGCCACTGTAGTTTGATCAGCATTATTTATTAAAACAGACGATGGTTGAATAGATATATCACTAGAAGGTCGATTATTAAATTCTATATGATTTGGAGAGTTGAAGTTCTGCATATTTATTGCATTTATGCTTGAGTGAGGTGAGCTTGAAAATATTTGATTTCCTCTTATAATAGATGAAGTTTGATCTGGACATATATTCAAAGGTATTTGTTCCCATCCATTTTGAAAGGGTGAAAACTAAAGGTGGATAATGATAACATTGACTAAAAATTACGAATGTCGATGGAGAAAAAATTGACACTAACTTACTTTTATTTTTACCTCATCAGATACTCGGTTAGAGTACTTGGTTACACAAAGTACTGTTATCAGTGATTTTAACATGACTTAAAATATTCCCAAGGACAATATCAAGGAAAAGTTTATTCTTAAAAATTACCTTCGAACTGAAATATTTCTGTTTTAAAATAAAGCAGTTATTTAGTCTACATGAAAGTATTTGGCTTTGAAAATCTTTTCTTTGTAAATATGGAACCATTTCTGTCTATAAACGTTGATAAAGCTCTAAGTCTATAAATTTAATAACAAGTGATTTCCTTTTCACCATTAAGATTTGTATGATAATCTAGTCGATGATTTCAGATAATGTTAAGCAAAGTTTAAAACTAAAAACTCCGCCTGGAGCACCTCTGCGGCTACTGACGGTCCCAAGCCTGGATAAAGGAGAATGGTTGGGCATGGGGTCAGTGACCCCATTCCGTAGAAAACCAACTCACTGAAAAGACGCTAACCAGAGAAACTGAGTGGTTTCTACACTATATTTGACTTGCTCAAAATATTTTTTTTTGTTCTACTGAAAGAGGAAAATATTGGATAACTTATTTATATTATGAGAAATCAAACAAAAGTATTGTTATTCTAAAATAACGATAAAATACCAGTTCTTTGCACAAAAATAATAGTAATGTAGTCAATGAATTATTTTGCATCTGTCCTACATTTTCCTCATTTTATCGAAATATGACTGATGTCAGATATTTGACTGAAGTAAACATTCTGATGTCGATTAAAATTTATTAAAGTATTTTGTATAAGGTGACATTTCTTGGTAGATAATGTTATGTTCAATATGATGTTGAGAGTAATGTACTTTGATCAATAATGCTGATGATGTAGTGAACGATGATCAAGGTACGGTAAATCTATTTATCGTCTCATGTACAATCGCATAGTACTTCTGCAAAATAATGAAAATCATACATTATAGACATTATTTGCACATCTGTCTTCAGTTGTCCTTTACTTGATACTTTCAATTTTGTTGTTATTCCGAATGCTTTCTGTTTCCTAATTCTCTTCTTTAATTCAGTCTTCTATTACTGTTGCATACTACTTATATCTGTCAACATAAGTAGCCCAAACCACAATAATAGTTAAATAAAATAGTAGCCAGAAGTCTTCGTGCAGAAGTAAGAATGATGAGTTTACCTCTTTGGGTACATTTAAAATGTTACAGCTCAGTATGGTTACTGAAGAGAAAATGAAAACCGTTAACTTAGTTACTTTAGTATTCAGTCAAATGTATCTTAATACATGTTAGGATGAATAAAAAAAACAGAACAACCGTGGATAAAAGTGACATATTCAACAGTTAGTTCTCGTCATATAGGGTTAGATTTTAAATGCTTCAGATAGCAAAAACAATAAGTATTTTTCTCAGATTTTGAGTTTATCATTGAAGTATATAGTCAGTGTTATAATAATGTTTTATTTTGGTTCTTTGTATATTCATTCGGTTTATTCCCAAACTATGAAGATTAACCAATTGATAGTTCTGAGAAGTTATTGTCTATTCATAAGTCATTTCTGTAAATAATCTAGTAAATTATCGTTATAAAACACTAAAGTGTTGTTTGTTCAGGTGTAGCAAAATGTAATTTAATCTAATTAGTATATTTCATTTATAACCTCATTTGTTACCTGGTCATGTGGTACTGACTGCAACATGTAACTGGCATTTAAACGCATATCGTCTGGATACATTGGAAAACTGGTCTGTGTATTTGTGTGTATTTCTGAGAAACCATTTTCTACTGGGTATATTTGCATAAGGTCCCCCGCAGCTGAAAAAATGGATAAAAGTTATTTAATATATATGCCAATAAAGTAAGTAATTTTTTAATAAACAAATACACATCATACATACTTCATACTGGCTTACAGTTAATGGCAGTTTACATGTTTGTTCATTTTTTATGTGAAGTCATTCAATTATTTAATTTACCGTTTGAGTATGCCCTAATCCTATTCTAACTCAGATGAGTAGAAGAACTTGCGATCACTATTCATAACTTTTCATAATAAATCAATGAGATCGATTAGCCAACATGATGATGAGGATATGATAAATTTAGCTTCTGTAATATCCCCATCAAGTAAGCATAATCCTATTTCAGTAGATAGTATTTTTAATTGCACATAAATTTTACTAACATAATATATTTAAAACGGTAAATGTAACTGAAATGGCATTTTTAAAGATCCTACTTTTATTAAATATTTGCAGTAAATGTAACTGCAATTAAGTTAATGATGTTCAAATTCATGAATTTCTAAATGATGGACATCATTGTAAGTATTTTTTGATCCAAGAATGGATAAATAATCAGATTCCTTTTTAAATTTGGATTCTGTGCTCGTTTTAACACATTTCCTCATTTATCGTCACATTTCATTGTTGTTTTTACGCTGCCTGACAAACGGTAGATCTCTATTGTTTGGATAGTTAAGTACTTTCAAGTTTTCTGATCGTAGTATGAAAAGAAACTAATTCCTGAAAAATCGAATGCTTGCTTTTTGGATTAAGTATTAAAACTTGACAAGTATGCACATTATATCTTCATATAGTCTCTGACATAAAAATCTTAATTGCTATCAGCTTCACCGATTTTTTCAGAGAGCACTAAATTAATATTTGCTTCAATAATTTCAATCTTTTGTGTTATTTAAGTTGATTTTAATTGCAAGACGGTTACTGTGGCATTTTGATTAAACGTCAGTTGATTTGATAAACCGAAAGTTTTCTAAAATTGACTTCTTTTGGTGGTCTTAATAGGGTAAGAATGAGAATCGTGATTTTAGGTGTTTTCTGTTTCGACTATAATCATATATTACCAACATTTAAGAGAGTAGACTATTATGTAAGCTCAATAGTTGAATTCATGAGCCGATCTAAGCTAGACCATCATTGAAAACCTGGAAGTATTGGACGATTATTTCGTTCTAGTTCGAGACTCCTCAACAGTTCGCAGCCACGATTCCACATGCTGGACTCAAACCCAGTACCACTAGTCTCGCGCCCGAATGCTTATCGTCTAGACCACTAAGCCGACATGCAATTGTGTTAATGTCTAATTTTAATCGATCCATGATCCTGATCAACCATTCGTCCATTGTCTGAGGTAGATACCTGTCTTTACCCGACACGGATTGAATTCCGCTGGTCACGACTTCTCATTAATACTCCAGGAAGTCCATCTTGAAACCAGTCACTAGTGAGCACATTGGTTGCGCAAGATCGTGAACCGACTGAAATTAGACATTAACACAATTGCATGTCGGCTTAGTGGTCTAGACGATAAGCATTCGGGCGCGAGATTAATGGTACTGGGTTTGAGTCCAGCATGTGGAATCGTGGCTGCGAACTGTTGAGGGGTCTCGTACTAGAACGAAATAATCGTCCAATACTTCCGGGTATTCAATGGTAGTCTTGCTTAGATTTAAAAATACTACGATTTTCACAAGCCCCCATCCTTATGTAATCATTAAAAAGCTTTGGAAATGCTGTTTAATTGACTATACTAATTGTTTTCAAATAAAGGAATAACTAGTTAATAAGCCACTTACTCTAATGAACCTTTTTGATTCACTGTCCAGCTGTTTACGTGGTCACGATTTATATAGTTTGATTTATTTCAAGAGAATCCATTTGAAAATTTTTAAGAAGGATATTTTCCTAGTGTTGTGGATCATTAGTAAACAATCAGTCTATGGAATACTATGGGATTCAAAAGGATATAATTTTATCGGGGTGTTGATGTACTAACTGAATCTTATTCACAACAATGTTTACTCCAACTACTGATAGAATAATTACTACAGTTCCGAAATTAATACTAAATTGAGCATATAAATACTAGTAGAATTGACGAACCTATTTTCGAAGCTCTAATAGAGAAAGAGACTGATTAATTTAGTCTTAGATATTGACATTGCTAGACTTCTAATATGCTACAGAAAATCTGACTGATTCGATAGTAACTCATATTTACTATTTAACTAATGTATGTACATATATATGGGTGAAGTTTATTTCGTGATTTAGTTGCTGAAGCAAACAACTGACTTTCTCTCTATCATAGGTGAGTTTAGTTAAAAAAAGGGCAACCATAAATAACGAGATGAAAATTACATAAAACTTAAGTCAAACCGTGTTAAGATATGTAAGTCATAGAAAATTATACAAATCAAACAGTGAAAAAGAGGATATAGGGGGTTTAAAGAAAAAATGTATTCAATCAGATATAATTCAATTTTCATCTATCTCTCACCAGATGGTTTACGTTCATCCTGTTTCATTTTTTGGCGCTTGTATCGTGTAAATATTAATATTACCAATAAATTCGCGATTAAAATAAATGATCCGAATACAGAGACTGCAATTATAATCACAAAAGCATTATCATCGAGAGAATTTAATTCATGACCAGATCGAACTGATCGTCTTTGGGGATCCGGATTTATGGAGTTTTCAGGGTTCTTAGAATTTAATCGCCATCTTGAATCCCAATGTCCTCTTTGAATATCTTTTAATGATTTGGCTTTGGCTTCATCCCTCATTGCTTCCTCTCCTGACAGTGAATCAAATGCTAAAGTAAGTTTTATAATTAAAAGTGTTTATCAGTTTTTATATCATTAAAAGAATACACGAAGCTTTGTTGTTAATGTGATCATATGTCTTAGAATCTTATTATATCTTGATATTATATTCTTATTGACAAGATGTCCTTTATCTCTCCATATTTTATTCTTGAATGAACATGAATATTAGACCTCCTAAAGTCGTCATTTCGCTTTCATTCATGCTAGGCATTTTACAGCACTCATACAAATTAAATGATTTCCTATTTAAACATATAGGTAATGCTTATCACACAACCATTGATGCGTAAATCCCTACGAATTATTTTGTCTTCAAAGGAATATTATTTGCATAAATTTATTCTTATGGATATTTTTTGTTTGGATGAGACAGTATATTTTACATTGAGTTATATTCCCAAGAGAATTTCCATATTGATCTACTTATTTTATAGAACAAATCTGTAGTGTACAACTGTTATCAATACAATCGATAGGCAAATGTACGAAAAAAAGATAGGTGATAAACGTTTCAAGTCAACATTTCTTACATCAACATATGTTGAAACTTGATCTTGAATTGGTTATACTGTAGTAGAGGTTTTCTGTATACTGGTGGCTTTCAGTGTTCAGCTTTTTCATTCAATAAGCTTCTACAAATCATCTATTTGTTGTATACAGATTAGATTATAATTAACTGCATTTCTACTTTTTGTTATATATGCTAACTTTCAGTGAAGAACCTTTATAAGTAATAAATATATTTTTTGTGATGTCTTAAGTAGTAGAAAGGAAAGAAGGCCTGACTATTAACCCAACCTGGACTGTTTATCCAAAGAACCACATTTGACCTTATTTATTTTCCACAAAATCTACACACTCAGTTTCAACCCCACTACTGCATATTACAAATGTATACATTTTTCATACCCACCTTCTGACGCACCAATTAATACAGAATCACTTTGACTAAAATAAATTGATTTTGACATGCTAAGACACTTTGTGATTATGGTTGTCCTAAAAATATTCTGCACTGTTTGCTTTGAACTATTTAAACTTGTGTTAATTTATTTCTGTTATTTATTCACTCTGAAAAGGTGACTTACATTAGGACACGAAATGTCAGAAATACAGTTTTCTACTCAGTGGGATATCATAAAAATATATTTATCGTTAACTTTCTATTCAATGCTCAATTTATATGTAACTATCAAGTCCAATCTTAGCAATGCTACGTACAATCCTTTATAAGCTTATTGGAGTGTTTAATTTCAATTGAAAACAGAATCTACACACAGTAACCATCATTCATTTACTTCACTTAGCATTTGACAAATCATTATCATTTCAGCCTTGATAATGGTTTTTACTAATCTGTTCTATAAAAACGGTCAGCTTGTCTCACTATAAATTTCCGTTTCCATCTGAGTATGTATTGATGCTTTTGATAAATTAAGGTCAGCTGCATAATTTGTTGTTTCAACTAGTACAAAAAGAAGAAATGTTTCTATTATATTTGACATGATGAGAGTGGTATAGTATACCAGATTGTTAAATTGTACACTATTGTACACCATTTATCACTAAGACTTGATTTTTAAATTAAACTTTCCCTTTAGAAGTTTCTTTTAAAGCTTAAAACTCAAATGAAATATAAAAAATAAATCAGAAGCAGCAACATCTAAAATGAATACTTCTTAGGTTGTTATAAATAGTCAGTTGTTCTTAATTAGGAAAGAATATGTTGATCATCTAATACTGAGATTAAGTAATTAATACTTTAATCATTTCAGTAGCTGACTGGGATATTTTTAGCGTATGATAAAGGCATCTACCGATCTGAATGCAGTACTGATTGGATTTAAAAAAAAAATAATTACAAACGACAATATATTGAAGTGAAGATTGGGAATGGCTAGCGATTTTGAAACTATGCACGATTTACGGTGAGTGAACCTTATTTTCTGTTATAAATCTTGAATCTACAATTTATTTCTTTATTAGTCAACTATAAAAATAAATAGAGCTTCATAGATATATATTTATTTTACGCCTATTTATAATGAAATTATTGAATGGTTTGTGAACACTTTCTTAATCTAATAATTAAATTCATTAGTTAATTAAAGCTAGACCATCGTGAAAAACCTGGAAGCACTGGACGGCCGTTTCGTCCTAGTATGAGACTCCTTAACAGTGCGCATCCACGATCCCGCTCCGCGGGATTCGAACCAAGGACCTCTAGACCGCATTGAACGGTGGTAATGTCTAACTTCAACCAATCGATGAACTTGATTTTACTGAAATGTGATCATATACTTAAGTGAAACTATATATCTTTTTAAAATTCTGCGTAGAATGTAAGAATATTTATCTAACAATGCATACATCTATATGTTAATACACCTGAAATTTTAATTTGTGAATGAATTCTCTAACATTTTATAACCAGGAAAAGAGAGAATCGATTCAGCACATTAATTAAGTAAAATCCTGTTAGTTTGTAAAGTTTTGTCTTCTAAATTCATAATTTCAGTATTTCTACATTAAATAACTTATATTTCAATGTATTGTAATCAATGTTTCAGAATAGTGTAATAAAAAAAGGAAAACTAAGCCAAGACTTCTGAAATATAATTGAATTGATATAATCTGTTTTAATTGTAACGCACAAAACAATTATATGATCAAAAGTAGTATCTGTACATCAACTGAATATTATATTCTCTTATGTCATTAAAAGCCATAAACATTGGTAGCAACCATGATATATTATAAAATAAAGTTATTTTGTTAGTTAACTACTCTTTTTCATAAAGACAATATACAGAATAACATACCAGTTGTAGAAGCCAAAAGATAGGGTGTAAACGATGTTGTAGTAGTTAATGTATTATAAGCACTAACTGACACACGATATGTTGTAGCTTTTTGAAGACCTATTAAATGTATAATAACAAAATAAATAGAACATATTGATTAGCAAAATAAATAACGATAGTATTGTACACTAAAATTAATTTAGTTTCTAACTAAGTGTTAGTTATCTTTTATAGAAAGTACTTGTCTAGAAATCATATAATATTTTATAGAAACATTGACAAGTGACAAAAAACAATTCAATTATAAGTAATTATAAAATATGTAGTCTAAAAAATCTCTTTCTCTATATATGAATGACAACTGGCATTATTACTATATTAAAAATATCACCCAACATTTGGTAAGTTATATTGATTTTTTAAAATAAAAATATAACACTTTCGCAATAAACATTTTATTACTTTGATTTAATCATTCGAACAATATGCATATATATGCCTGGTACTACGTTGTAACTAACTGACTGATTCAGACAATAAGTGAGTAAACGTAATATGATGATCTTTTGTTTTACTTCTCAAAGAGACAATCTATGTTATTTCCTAACATAAAACTAACTGATAAATCTCAATGTTTTGTGAACTGTAAATTAAACTGAATATAAATGCGACTAAATGTCCCGATGGATGAACACTGACTGATCTTTTTAACATCACTAAGCACTGGATTCTTTCTTTTAGTCATACATTTCGATATTATAATACTAAAGCATGTTCATTAAAGGTAGTTTTATTTGTGATCCTTAATAATAAAAAACGAAAAATCTCACATCGCAAGAAATTAATTATATCTTGTTGGAAAACGTACGTTTATAATGTTTAAACAAACACTCAATTATTATGCTTATTGCTATACAGCTTGCAACAGAAGATAAGAAAAAAACACTATCAGTCAAATTTTAAAATATATAAAGAATAACATTCGGTAAGGTTTACTGATAACTTAATGTTGTGATATTTATTGAGTATATGTTCGAAAATCAAAATTTCTATAACATACCATGTGACAAAGATAATAAGTTGGTTTTGGCGTCGATTAAATCCATCAGGAAGCATTAGTTATCTCAAGACTACATGTACACCTTGTCAACAAGTGCTGAACAACACGAAACTTAGATTTAGCATTTCATGTTCATTACGCGTACCCATCATCCAACAATTTAGTTTAGTCACACCATATCTATCGTAAGATAGGTTATACGAAACTATTATATATATAGTAAATCACCAACTAACATTTCATTGTATGTGGAGTCCACTTTATTGCTAAATCCATAAATACTCTAAATAACTTTATGCATAAGAAGAATATTTTGGAGAATGAATGGTCGCTCAAAGACTGTTATTACACATTGTAAGATTTACAGAACCTATTCTGTCATAATGATCAGGTGCTGAGACTCAAATCATAGTTTTAGTTTTATTGATTAAATTTTGTATACGACTATGATAAGTGAAGTTGAATAAAAATCTAACTTATCCTGAAATTTTTCATGTTTAAACCAATTTAATTTTTCTTCTATTCACTATTAAATGCATAGTTGAGTTATTCATGATAATCTTCCTGAAACCTTTTTATTGCACAATTTATTTGCTAGGATTTAGTTGTTGGGTTTTTTTTTCAGTTATTTCTTTCACTGGTTGAAATCATGAGTCAATTGAAGCTAGACCACCATGGAAAACCTGCAAGCACTGGACGGCCGTTTCGTCCTGATATGGGTTTCCTCAGAAGTGCGCATCCACGATCCCGCACCCCGCGGGATTCGAACCCAGGAACTTCTGGTTTCGCGTGCGAGCACTTAACCATTAGACCACTGAGCCGGCATCCAACGGTGTTAATGTCTAACTTCTTTAACAAAATTAATCTATTAGAACTAAATGAAATCCATTCAGAAAAGCTAATCCTAAATTTAATCTTTTATCTTCATTGTTTTGCGATAAGTACTATATATTGTTTGATTAAGATGCTAAAATGTATGGTGTACTTACTGATTAACGCTTCTGTTTTTATTTTGGTAACTGACATTCAGCTCTATGCATCACATATGTCCAACTACGAAGTGGATTCACAGTTACGTTAAATTGTTGGAGTGTCTTTATTTCGAATGATATTCAATAAGCTTAATATTTACATAGCAGATTTCTTTGGAGTTCTTTTTAACCAAACAGTAAGCACAGAAAGAAAAAAATAGTTTTGTCTGTCGCCATTTTTGGCTAATAATTTCAGGAAAATAAAGTTATAAAAATTTTACGCCAAATTTACCAGTGATAGTGTAGGTTAATACTTCATTGTCTAGATCTTCTTTAATATTGACTTTATCATGGTGATCTGGGTCTTCATTTGGATGCCAATGTAACTGAATGAGAAAAAAACAAAAAATTGATAACAGTAACTATATACTTGTATATGTTTTTGTGAATACATGAATAATAAATCATTTTTCTATCAGTAACTGACAAATCGATTGGTAAAATACGTGATATATTTTACTGTTTAGAAAGACGGTTGGTGGAGATTTATTCACTCACTGAAACACATTAAAGAGCCATTGAAAACTAGCTTAAATTGCACAAACAATAAACTCTAGTTTATAGCTTTTCAGGTATACGTACATGAAATTGCGCTCTAGTCGGAAGCATGTCCTACAATTATCATAATGACAAGATTGAATTACTAAGTTTGAGTTCAATGGTTATTACTAACAATACTAATCAGTTTACAAAAAGTACAAATACAATATAATGGCATCGATAATAACTATCTCACTACTGTTAAATGGGATATTTTTATTACATAATTCCTTTAAAAGGATAGTGAAGCAGACATATTATTGACGTAAACAAAGTATCTTCCATTCAAAATTAATACTTTCATCATTAGAAAAAGGTAGTTGATCCTGATGACAAACGACAAGTTGTAAAGATGTTTTAAATGAATGATGACTTTGAAAAAATAGTTAACAACCAATAGTACAATTTACATTTTAATTAACCAATGAAAAAATGAACTATTTTCTTTTTTATAAAGAGTTCACAGAATTTATGTTAAAGCTAAATGGTACTACAATCATTATTACTGGGTTGGTCTGGAACTGTTTTTTTATAGATAAATTAGCGGTAATGTTTGGAGAAGTGTAAACAGATTAATTGTAAAATAAATCAAAGTGTAGCCAATAAATCAAACGACGATTTTAAATTTGTAAACAAAAAGGTAGGTAGCCGTGGGTTGAGAAGAGTTGAAAATTTTGAATGCGATTATTACTTAAATACAGACCCAAGTACTATCAAGAAACGTTATGTATTCATTAGAAATGCAATCTTTAAGGTAAATGGGAAGTATTGAGCTTATTTATTGAAGCAATTTGCATTATGATCCCCTGATTGTTGTTAGTTTTATGTAAATACTTTCCCTTTACTATAAATGAAAGTCTTTTGGATATTAGTTATGTTAATAAATAGTGCAATATTTAGTTCTTTAGAAAAATGTTTATCTCGAAGACGAAAATTTAAAGGATTGTAATTTAAATATTATCAACTAAATCTTGTTCACCTCAATGAACAGAATTGACATTAGATCATAGAAGTTGAGTGTCAAAATTCTACACTAAAACTTTGAAAAATTATATTCAATACTCAAGAGTGTAGAAGGTATAGAGATTCGGGCGAGACTCTAATTTAGAGACGACCTTTGAACGAATCTTAAATGACCTTGACAATTATTAGCCAATCAGAAGACAGTATAAAGTGAAAATATATTATAAGAAAGTAATGAATTACAGTGGCTTTTCTTCTTTTATATGATTTAAAAACTTGTTAAGGTTTGATAAAGGTTCAGAGGTTCTGAATTCATAATGCATATGGTATAGAAACTCGTCCATAGGGTTAGGGTTAGTGTCTAGGGTTAGGGGTTATGGGCTAGGGTTAGGGTTGTAGCCTAGGGTTAGGGTTTAGGGTTAGGTTTGGGTTGTGGCCTCTCAATAAACACCTCTTCTCTAAAATCCGTTGTAAACCGATCGTATGTTAGCATCACGTGTTGAACTTGGCTCCATGAACTTGAAATTGCTCAAACGCTTCTGATTGGCTCGTCCCTAAATTAGAATCTCAAGCAGCCCAAGAGAATATTCTCGTACATAAACTACAAAACAATGATGCATCATTGGATTCCCAACCTAATTGAAGAAGGTAGTGAATCTGAAATGATAGAGGAAGGTCAGGAAAAAGCAGAGGCTATGGCTGATTATTTTAGGGCAGTTTTCACTCAGGAACCTCCTCTAGAGAAAGAACCAGACCATAATACATAGTCAACAAATCAGCTACTCACCGTGGACTTCGACCAAAACGATGTGCTTAAGGCTCTTAGCACCCTAAACATGGAGAAGTCAACAGGACCAGATGAACTACACCCCAAAATCTTTAGACATATTGCCCAATATGCCGCGGCCCCACTGACTGTGATATTCAATATGTCACTTGACCAAGGTGTGTTACCTATGGACTGGAAGGACGCAATGGTCACTCCCATACATAAAACAGGTCCACGACAAGTTCCATCGAACTACAGACCCGTAAGCCTCACCAGTGTTGTAATTAAAATACTGGAAAGAATAATCAAACGGACCATAACAGCATTTATGGAAACCAATAACTTGCTGAACATGGCACAACATGGTTTTAGAAAGGGTCTATCCTGTCCAACGAACTTCCTTATAGAAAGGGAGTTCTGGATTAATGCGCTAGACAACGGAAACTCAGTGGATGCTGTCTACATAGATTTCAGTAAGGCTTTTGACAAGGTGCCAACTAATAGACTGCTATTGAAGTTGGAAAACCTTGGTATTGCCGGACCTCTTTTAAAATGAATTAAGGATTTCCTAGTAGGTCGTCCACAAAAAGTAAGAATAAATTCCAAGTGCTCCATCTGGAGACCAGTACTTAGTAGAATACCCCAAGGTTCCGTCCTAGGTCCTTTACTTTTTATAATGTACGTTAATGATCTTACAAGTATAGTACGATTTCCAATTTTATTATACACTGACGATGTAAAAATTTGGAGAGTAATAACTAGAGACAAAGACGCATTTACTCTTCAGGCGGACTTAAATAAAACGATAAACTGGTCTAAAGAGTGGCTGATGCCTATCAACGCGGCAAAGTGTGTCTACATGCACTTGGGGGATTCAAAGGTTAATAAGTACAACATAGAGGATGTATCATTACCCGTAGTCCGGTCTCATAAGGATCTAGGGATGACAGTGAGTAATGATCTTAAGACGACGGCCCATTGCCGGGAGGTCGCAGCCAAGGGGTTTCGAACCCTCTGGGCTTTAAAAAGGACATTCACTAAGTTAGATACTACCATGTTCACCACAGTATACACATCCTTAGTGAGAACTAAGCTAGAGAACTGCGCTCAGGCTGCAAGGCCCTTTTTAAAAGGTGACTCGGACATACTAGAAAAAGTACAGAGGGCAGCTACCCGTGCGATTCCGGAACTCCGGGGTTTATCATACAAAGAGCGGCTTGAAAAGCTGGACCTCTTTACTCTGTACTATCGCAGACTAAGGGGAGATCTAATTTTGATGTACAGAATACTGAGAAATGATTTCGGACCTAACTTATTCTCTCTCTTTCTTCCCACTAGATCGGGACACAGAGGACATAACAGGCGAGTAGAAAAGCCTAGAACGATCAAAATACCCGTGGCATACAGGTTTTCACACCTAGTCATCAATACTTGGAACCTGCTGCCTGAAGCAGGGGTGTCCGCACCTTCAATTGACTCTTTCAAGAGAAGACTGGACACTCACAGAAGAATACTAGGAAAGGAATAACATAGGCCGTAGGTTTTCTGTCCTTACTACACAAATCTGAATATCCACTGTAATTCATTACTTTCTTATAATATATTTTCACTTTATACTAAGTGTCTTCTGATTGGCTAATAATTGTCAAGGTCATTTAAGATTCGTTCAAAGGTCGTCCCCAAATTAGAGTCTCGCCGAGATTCGAAACAAGTGTTGATATAATAAACTAAAATTCATATCATGTTAATGTTATTTTTTTAACTATGTTTAACCTGAATTCCCTTCATATTGTTTACTTGAATCTTCTCATTGATGTTTGGGACTGTAATTGATCAGTCTCTTATTGGTATATATGTATACTGTGCTTATTGACTCGATATTGCCTTAATTATTTAATCTGTCTTATTTCCTGCCACTTTATTGTCACTGAGTAGGTTAAAATAAATTTACAAACGAAATCTAGAAACCAGCATGTTTTTTAATGAAATTTCAGAGTAACCGTTAGTATGCATACTCTTCACTACGTATATCATATTTATGTTTATTATAACCATTGTTAAAAAAATTTGATCATACAAGAAGAACAATCTAGTAACATTTCCTCATTAAAATGCTATTTTCTTGTTAAACTGTTTCATTTTAATCTTTTCCCATTTCTATTTTTAATCTTTGAGCTTATATGAATTACAATAATAAAGCCATAATTTAATTGAATTATAATCAAACTTTGCAATGTAATTAACATTGTTGCTGATGTAATGATATTACATTAAAATGGGGTTAATTTTAATTTTTACTTAAAAGTAAAATATATTCATTCAGGAAATTTAATTAAAATCTGATATAACTATGAAATTAAATATATAGAAGGTAGTATTTAAATAAATTTAAAACTAACTGGAAACTATTTAAACGATAAAGTAAGAACTTTAAACTTGGATTAATTCTAATTTGGTTATTTATTCTCTGAAGAAGTGACTTACACTAAGTCACGAAACGTCAGAAAATCTAATTTTTTACTCATTGGGATATTACAAATATCTTACTTATTTATAATAAAGTAAGAAGAAAAGAACGATGAAATAAAGAAAGAAAAAAAGAAGAAAGAAACACATGATCAATTGTTTCAATTAATCTACATGTTTACATTACTAGTCATTACAAATTGTAGTATTCATTGTAGTCTTGTTTTACAAATACCAAAATGATTATTTTATTTTAAATACTAATTACCTTTTTTTCCATTACATAATGTTCATAATCAATATTGGATAGACAAAAGAAATACTGTTCTGTGGTTATTGTTCAATTTTTTTAGGTAATGTACATTACGGATTGACAATCAGTAAAAAACTATGAAGCATTTGTTAGCTTTTTTGTTGTAATTTAAGAATGTGTTCACGATTTTCATTAGTATGTTGAATGTATATTAACCACACTAGACTTCAAATGCAATGGTGTGAATTTAGAAAGGGTCTTATCATACATTTTAATGAGTAGGTGACTTAGTTTGTATAGAGAATATTTAGAAAAACGTAACAACCAGTAATTTTGAGAGATATTTTCGTGTCAACAAGTAGTAGCAAGAAGTAAGTTTTAATTTAATCGGATGATGTCTTTGGGTTATCATCAGTGAGTAACCTAGACAGTTACACAAAGAGTAATAACTGCATAAATCTAATATTTATAAATATTTATAATACGTTTGTTAGTTCAAAATCAGCTCGCTAACATGCTTACAATACGAGACTTTCAAAAACATGATAGTCCTGTTTTCAGAACTTGTTTAGTCTTAGAATATACGATAGATTTTCTTTATTCAGGAAATAGAATCTCTTATTTGTATAAACAAACATGACAGAATGGGTTCAATTGATTAGAATCTAAACATCCACAATTGTTATTTCAACCTAATTTTATGACTAAGCCTAACTAATATTCTCTTCTCAGGTGAATGTCCCCTAAAATATTAAATTATGTGATAATGAAAAGAGTTATGTATTGCAATTTATGTTGCAGACGTTGTATAATATATAGTTAACATATGACTGCTAATAAAATTCTTTGACAAAGTATGAAAAGGTAAGAACAAACCCTAAATGGTACAACTGAAACTTGGTGAACATAGAACGGAAAATAAAAACGACGCAAGTAAAATAACATCATGAATTCCGCAACTGATTATTCAAACGACAAGACAAAAATTCAGCTTGCTTACCTGTTAATCCTGTAAAAGGTATGTTTTGAAAAAATTGTGTCAAAATTAGGGTTGTTGACGGTGAACCAGCTAATAAGTATTTTCTAGCTACATACTATTATTGCATCTAGTGTCAATTAACAACAAAACTATCCTCCAAAAACTATTTTAAAGTCATTTTACCAATCAATGAATAACACCTCAACTAAATCTGTTATTTAATAAAACTTGAGCAGAATTCTGGTCTACTTACCAAGAAATTTTGTTCTGGACCACCATTAAATCCTTGTGTCCAAGAAACTGTTAAACTTGTACTAGTTGCATTCAATAGACGCGGTGAACTTGGAAGATCAGGTTGAGTCGGACGTATTAAATCCACACGACCAATATCTTCGCCAACTAAATTTTTTACCTATTTCAATAAATGTTTTTTTCCAGTTTTAATTAAAATAAAATAGATTAGTTTTTTATTGCGTAATATTAAAGCTAAATAATAAAAAAAAGTTTATTAGCATGGTGATTGGAGGGAGTTATTAGGAAACCCCGAGCCTAGGTTTCGTGCTACTTGACACAAGTCAGCAAGGTATACCTATTATCTTGAGGGAATTGATGCTCCCTGATGAATTCGATCCCGTGTCACCCAGCTTCACAGTCAGAGATGTTACCACTGAGCTATCTAGGCCGCGACTGAGCTTCTTAATGCAGATTGAATCTTATCGACCAAGAACCTGATATATATGACATTGATCACCACCCGATGATCAGTCAATTATAAATTCGTTTATTTCTGTGAACTGGAAAATCAGATTACTGTTATTATTAAATAAATCGATCTTCATTATTGAAAAATTGGATCAAACCAGCAGTTTGAAATAATTTTAATAAATTAACTTTAAAAATTAATTATTCAGTAAAAAATATGTCGTTTTTTTATTAAAATTTTAATCAAAAAATTCATTGTATTTTTAGTCATAACTGTCTGTTATGTACGGTCAAAAAAAGATTTAATGTGAATTGGACAAAATCAATAGTGGAACGTTCATTTCACTTTACACACTCATCTTGCTCAGTCAATATTCACCATAGTTACTGAAAGTAAATTGTGTGAAGTATAAAATGATCAACAATAGAAAATGATTATGTGACCTAAGAAACATATATATGTACGTATCTGTGAAAGTTTCACAATATTCCGTTTCTATATGTATTGTACTGTTTAATTACTACAATCTCCACAAAACCCCTTCTGATACTAATCAACACATGCTCACTGGTGACTGACTTCAAGAGGTATATCCTGCAGTTCTTGTGAGAAGTAGTAGTGACCAGTGGAGTTCAACCGGGTCAGTTGTGAGGTATTAACTCACTGATGACAATGGTGGATGTGTCGCTCAATTTCGTGGATTGGTTGAAGTTAGACATTAACACAATTGGACGACGGCTCAGCTGTCTAGTGGTCAAGCGCTCGTGCACGAGACTGATAGGTCTCGGATTCAAATCCCGCGAGCGGGTCGTGAATGCGCATTGTTTAGGAGTCCCACAATAGGACGAAACGGCCGTCCAGTGCTTGCAGGTTTTCCATGGTGGTCTAGCTTCAGTTGACTCATGATCTCAACTGTTTAAATTATTACAATCTCCACAAAACCCCTTCTGATATTGTATTTTTTCACTAATTTTAAATCTTGATACCGAATCGTAAAACATTTAGATGCCCCAGTTTTATTGAATATGATATTAAAGAAAATTTGGGGTGAGATCGTTTCTTAAGTGAAGATCGATGAACTCTATTGGTAGTGACAAGATAAATATCTGTTTCGTGAAGTTTGTTGTGTTCATTTACTGCTGAATATGATAATCCTAAATGAAATATGAATGAGATCATAGGTATGTAATTTGTCCATAAACTCCCATATAGAAGGTAAGAACAATATTCCGGAAAGTGGATAAATTATACATGATTTTTTCTCTAAAATCTGCCATATGTATACTTAAAGACGTAGACTGAAAAGCTTAGCGTAAAAATTAATGAACAATTTTAATCTGTATTTAAATGAATTAAAACCTGTCTGAAGTATATAAAGTTTTGAAGACTTAGTCATATATTAATAACCTTAAAGTTATTCAAATGAGAGGATAACAAAGTGTTGCTAAAAATATTTAATTTAATAAAAAATGTAGTTATAGATATTCAGACCTATAATGAAGATTTTTCATTATAGGTCTTTTATAGCTACTAAAGTGCTCTTAAAAATTAAAGTAAACACTGTTTAGCCAAGCAACTTACAGTCTACTTTTGTATAAACTGTTTTAATTATACAGAGCCCTCACAAGTATTAACTAGATATATTGAAGCATTAAGTTGAATAGTAACCGTAGTAATTAGGAATAACAAATTAATAAAGGCTACGTTTTGCATTCCATGTTGTTTCATAGAGTAAGTAAACAGGGTTATATATAATATTGATTGAAATTAAAATTTGCATGACATTACCATGTATACAAGTGTTTTACTGACCTCTAACTAACCATTGAAGGATAACATAACTAAAGTAACGTAAAATATGTCTGAAATAGTGTGCGACTAATATCGTTTTGTCACTTTGTTAGGTGCTTTGATTATATATCATTGCAACATTTAGTTAACATTAATTTTATTACTTATGTATTGATGGGATAATGTTTAAAATTCAGTTTTTAAGTGTTAGATAACACATTCGAACCCAGTACAACCCTTTATAGTTTTGATCTCTAGGTAGTAACAATACCTTTCACATAAAGTGTACATTTAAAATCAAAGAAGAGGAATCTGTACACATTTACTGGGATGCATCACATTTAAAATGCATTTTATTTTCAGTGCCAAAAGTACTAAGGTAGAGATTACAAATTGAATGATACTATAATCTTAAAGCATAAAACTTTTGTGATGACAAAAATATAAACAGTAGGCAATGAACACATTCATCAGTAATAAATATTTTCAAGCGTATAACATCATACGATATGAAGAAAGTATTTCAGAAAAAAACTCATCTCAAGCCTTTCTTTTATGTCACATCCAAGTGTTCTGATGGGAAGGATTTTTTTTCAGCATTGAAAAATAATATTTTATAATAGTACATATATCTTCAGTGGTAAATAGTAAACGCCCATTATAAAATGACATAAAATCTCCAATTTATGCTTAACACTTTGAGTCGTTGCTTTCTTACGTAGACAACAAATGATAAGAGAAGGGGATTTGGTAAAAATCCATTTTACATGTAAACTAATAGGTATAACCGATTTCACACGAGATTAAAATATAGTTTGAAGAGTAATAACATCTTGAGAAGTTTCATCATAGTGAGATACACTGATATACATAAGAGGAATATTGTCATGTTCTCTTGAGGTTATACAGTAATGAGTCTGAAGTGATGATCAAAAGAGAGAAACGAATTTGAAGTGTACTTATTTAAATTAGAAAGGATGAATTCAGAAGTGTAAATGAAATGAGCTTGTTAATGTCTGTGAATGTTGAAATGACCCGTAATGAAATATATGCTCTGATCAGATTGAATCATTAATAGATTTTTTAAATTTATTTTGAAAAATATTCCAATAAATCCAATCAGTATCGGAATGGACTTTGTATATAGTAAGTTATAATAACAACTAAACGCTTTAATTTATTAGTGATTCAAAAACATAGTGAGAAACAGTTATATATTGTGTAGTGTAAGCCATTTACAAAACTGTTTGTAAGTAGTGTGTCGCGGAACGTGGAGTCAAAGTTACAACAGTTGTCAGACAGAGGGAAGAGTTCAAGTACATCAAAAGTACAGAATTGACAGATTAAACGAGAAGGCAGTTAAGATGGTGGAATGATTGAAGGTTGTGTATATGTATTATGTAAATATGTTGTAACGTCTCACAAATAATTGATATTCCTCCTTATTATTGCCTTCTTTTTACAAGTGAACTGAAATAAATGGTGAAGAAGTTATGAATATTGTAAAACGTCATCTTTCTATGAAGTACTTTTTTAATTGATAAAGGTTTGGTCATGAACTGACATTAGCTAAAAAGACCTAATGGCCGTAATGCATTAAGCAGCACTCTTGTTCCAGCCTTGGAATCTCTAATAGAAGGAGAAGAGTCACACAGAAACGTAACTCCAAACATTTTTATATTGTGTGAAATAAGTTCAATGTAAAATTACAATACTTTTGACTTCATTATTATGATATGAACAGTAAATAATTTGAAATACTGGTTACTAAATTGTGTTATCTTTAAAAAATATTCTAGAAATGTATGTGTCAAAACGATTGGTGTATGTGCAGATTAAATTTCGTAGTTACTCTCAGCACTTTCATTTTACTAAAAGACTGTTTTTCTCAAATGTTTCTTTTATACTCTTTGTTAATCTATGTAATGTGTTATTCAGTATACAATAAATATGATGGAGTTTATGATATATAATCAAATTGTTGTATTTGTACAATCAGTGGGCTATTCAATGAGAGATATAGACTAAATATAGACATAATTTGATTATGAAATTTATTTTGATATATAACTATAAATATGAAAACAAATATGAGTTGTATAACTTCATTATTTGATTAATGAAAAAACAATAAGCTTTAAAGAGATAACACTACAGTGATTACATAATCTGGCGTAGACAGTTCAAATAAAGATTATTTTATTTTAGAAAACAACTTTAATGACTATCCGAAGTTTCATATATATATATATATATATATACATCTATTCTTCAATAACATAAACTATGCTCATAATAATACTTGTTCATAAAAAAGTAGGACCCTTTATTTTCTTTAATCCCAAGTGTAATAATTTTAATACATAATGAACATAGAAGTAATTTAATATTATGTTTATATAATAAATTATAAATTAAGGCTAGTCATTATCTTTATTTTGGCGCTTAAAACATCTGTTCTGTACTAAAATTCCGTCAACATATTTGACATACTATAAGTAATTTACCATATGGTACCATAATAACTAAAAAGGTATTTTTATAATTTTCAAAGAGAATATAAATAGTTAGTCTGGATTAATTCAACAACTCCCCCCCCCCCAAAAAAACTTCGATTTCTAGTCAAGTAGAAAACGTTTTAGAAGAAGCAAAACAAGAACAAACAAACAAATTGGATATCTTAGTTGAAATAAACTAATATTATTGATAAAATCATGTAGTAGTCCATGGATACGAAACCAGGCAACAATAGTTTCAAAAGACTTAGTTAAATGATCTCTTTTTATTATAATCACAATAATGTTGATATATTTTATTATACAAATTAAACTTACTTTACAAAAGTACCGACCCAAATCAACTTCTTGTGGTTGTATCAAATATAATATTGCATGATATAATCCTGGACGAATAGATTTAACTACTGAATGAAATTGACCTCCTTCAATTAATGTTAAATTAGCTGGTTCTCTTAACCAATTTACTTCTGGATTAGGTTCTGCAGCAATTACACATGTTAATCTGGCATGAGCTCCTTTTACGATGGAGATTAGTTGATCAGAAATTAAAGTTGATTGAGTAACACTGATAGTTTTATTCTTATTTGAAACTATATTGGGTGCAGCTCTTGACCATCTTGTTACTGGTACTATTCTTGGTGCAACTACAATAACAAACAACGAATTATTGTTAATGTGAACGGATTGATAAAATAGATAACATTATTTAGGCACAAGTATATTTTATTAGATTTTTGGAAAAAAAGGCATTAATTCTTTTCTCTGGACTGTTCACTCCTATGCAATATTTCAGAATAGGATTTTTCTATATTTAGCATATAGGAAACATGGTTGTGGCGAAAATAATTTCCCAGTTTCTCGACTGTGTATATTGTGTTTGATATTAGTAACTTAAAATCAGCGATTAACGTTTTAGCTTCTATAACTCTCTGATATGAGAGCTCAGTTTTATAAATTAATGATCATTAATTATTATTAACAGGTAGTTAGATTAAATGGAATAAATTTCATTAACATTTTTATATCAGTTAGAAACTTACATGGATAAGTAAGATCAATCGTACGAACAGCTGGTGATCCGATTCCATTATCCATGTTACACTGATATCGCCCAACATCATTTGGACTTAAATCGTATATTGTAAGTGTACTAGTCATTACACCAGGAGCTGATGACCAACACTTTGCATAATATTTAAATCCAACATTCCATTCACCCTATTTGATAGCAAATGTACATAAATGTTGTTCATTGAGTAGACAAATCATATCAAAGCGTATTGAAAGAGAACACAACTAATTTTCCAGAGTTAAGTCAAAAAGTTATGTTTTTATACCATACAATATTATACGAAATGATAATGCGGAATAAATTTATCTTGTTTGCCATATTCTGAATATTAAACAATAATCTCCTGATGATTTAAATGATTCCAAGACAAACAAACAAGCTTCTTGAGAACATTTAAAATGAATATAACATTCTGTAAAAACATAAAAATGGTTATGTCATGGCTTATATCATTCAATCAGTTATAAGTGGACATGTATTATTTTGAATGTTCAGATTATATTTTACCGTTCGTAATCTATTACGAAACAGTCGGTAGAAAGCGTCCAATCCTCCCTCGTAATTAGGATGATAAGAAAAGTGACACTACGAACAAATATACGAAATAAGATGAGTCCATTTTTGAATTTCAGGGTTCGAACTGAAGAGTGTTATTTTTTCCAATTTTGTATAGGTCATGAGAAAAAAAATTAATAAGATATCTTACGAATAATTCACTTGATATTGTTTAACTTGTATCTTCCCATTGATATTTTAGGACTGATATTGATCAGTCTCTTATTGGCATATGTGCATAGTGTGCGTATGCCTCGATAATGCCTTAATTTACAAGCATTATAAGCAAAGATGGATAGTGGCTAGCAGTGGAATCCAGGACGCGCGTTTCGTCCTGTTTGGGACTCGTCAGCTGGATGTACCTTCATCTCAGAGTTGGTGTTCACTCTGGGACTCGAACTCAGTACCAGAGTGAACATCAACCTTGAGATGAAGGTACATCCAGCTGACGAGTCCCAAATAGGACGAAACGCGCGTCCTGGATTCCACTGCTAGCCACTATCCATCTTTGCTTATAATATCTTACGAATAGTTGACAATTCTTAAATATTATTTTCACTATATCCAAAACGATTATAAACGCAAGTATCCGACTGTTATAAAATGTACTTTCTAGCCAAAATACTGACCAATTAGTGTTTAGAAATCCAAAACACTGTTTACTTTACACTTCAAGTAATTACATTAGACATAATGAATATATACACTAATTTCATATATATATGCTTAGAAGTATTTACACCTATGGGATAATTTAGATTAATTCAAGTGAATTTATGTTAACTAACAATTTGATAATATAAACTAAAGTGAAAGCAAACTTATCATATTTAAGTTTAAAAAAAATAAGGAAGAATAAACTAACTTTTATTTATTTCCCAAAGTGTACGCATACAGACATATTAGATAAACAAATGAATTAGAAATATATTAAAAGTAATAAAAGGTAAATGTTCAACTGGTAGGTCAATACAAAAAAAGAAGAATAATCTGCTGATAAACTGTCCAATTTTTTTTGAAGATAAAATGAAGGTACTTATAGTTAAGGTATGAATGAACAATAAATAAAACCACAGAATCTAAGTATGTTCCATCTCTACGTTTATACAATAGACTTTAATCAGTAGCCTGTATATCATTCTTTTTTCTATAAAAATACATAAATTCTAATAAAATTGTATACATTTATATATATGTATATATGAGCATATTTATGGACAAAGCTATATTTAGCCAGCCGTTTTACCTATACAAACCATAGTTTATTGAAGAATATCAATGCATTTCATTCTTCTAAGGCATTTATTTATAAAATATCAGTAGTATATATATTTAATTACACAAAAAATCCAAAGTATATTATACATTGATGGATTAAAATGAACCATTCTACTTCTATTGTGTAAATAGTCATATTATTTTATTTATCTTCTATTGACTTCATTAATCTATAATCTATAATCTATAATTAATTTGTTTAAAAGACCGAAAAGAAAATGTAATAGATTATTTGAATAAACAAAAAATACAAGGTTTAATGTTAATTTATACAAACACCAATCCACTATTCATTTAGTTAGAATTTGTAAACAGAAACAATCTTAATGGGAAGAAAAAGCAGAAAAAAATGTGGATGTAAGTTAGTGACGAAAGAAAGAAATATATGATGAGAAAGAGTAATGGTTCTTTAAAAAGATCCATCTTTAGAAAACAAACATGGAATGGCCAGCTAACCAACTTCTATAGCTGGGTTCCGTTAACGCGGTTAAACTGCGAATAACCTTCATTAGTAGGAACTTATTTTTTGTATCCATAAAAGATAAGCTTCCGCGTCTGGTCGCCTCCATGTGCATCTACCAGTTCACCTGCTCTTGTGGAGCAAGGTACATTGGCCGTAGCCAGCGCTCGCTTTCAACTCGGATACGGGAACATATCCCAGCTCGGTTCTATAAGGGTGAAAGTAAAGCAGTTAGGAGTTCTATACTGGAACACCTAATCGACTATAACCATTCTACACATCCACATATTGATTTTAAGGTTGTTTATATGATTCGTTCAAATCTACCCAGATTTCTTCGTATTCAACTCTTAAAAAATTAGCCGAAGCTCTTACCAACTATGCGTACAAAAGAAGTACGTCTTATCATTATCGTTACCTTGGCTTTAATTAGTTTGATCATCCTATTATTATGTCATGAGGTCCTGGGTCACAAGAGGCACCATCACAAGGAATGGATCACTGATGATACACTGGATAAAATTCAAAAAAGGAGGAACAAGAAAGCAGCAATCAATACCAGCCGAACAAGAGCAGAAAAAGCCAAGGCACAGGCCGAATGCACAGAAGTAAACAAAAAAGTGAAGAGGAGCATCAGAACCGACAAACGTAAATATGTGGAAGATTTAGCAACGACGGCGGAAAAGGCTGCAAGAGAAGGAAACATGAGACAATTGTATGACACGACAAAGAAACTCTCTGAAAATAGCCACAAGCCAGAACGACCAGTGAAAAGCAAGGAAGGCGAGGTAATCACCAACATTGAAGAGCAACAAAACAGGTGGGTAGAACACTTCAATGAACTCTTGAATCGACCAGCTCCACTGAACCCACCCAACATCGAAGCAGCACCCACGGACCTTCCAATCGATGTTGGCCCACCAACAATTGAAGAAATCAGCATGGCCATCAGACAAATCAAGAGTGGCAAAGCAGCAGGACCGGACAACATCTCAGCAGAGGCACTAAAAACAGACGTAGCGGCAACTGCAAGAATACTCCACATTCTCTTCAATAAGATTTGGGATGAAGAACAAGTACCAAAAGACTGGAAAGAAGGACTTCTGATCAAAATGCCGAAGAAAGGCGATCTCAGCAAGTGTGATAACTACAGGGGCATCACTCTTCTCTCAATACCGGGAAAAGTCTTCAACAGGGTATTGTTAAACAGGATGAAGGACTGCGTAGACGCCCAACTTCGTGACCAACAGGCAGGATTCCGTAAGGATAGATCGTGTACAGACCAAATCGCAACTCTACGGATCATTGTAGAACAATCAATTGAATGGAATTCATCACTCTACATCAACTTCATTGACTACGAAAAGGCATTTGACAGCGTGGACAGAACAACACTATGGAAGCTTCTTCGACACTACAGCGTACCTCAGAAGATAGTCAACATCATACAGAATTCATATGATGGATCACGCTGCAAAATCGTGCATGGAGGACAGTTGAAAAAGTCGTTCGAAATGAAGACCGGTGTCAGGCAAGGTGGCTCACTCTCACCCTTTCTCTTTCTCCTGGTGATCGACTGGATCATGAAGACGTCAACATCTGAAGGGAAAAACGGGATAAAATGGACATCTAGGATGCAGTTGGATGATCTAGACTTCGCAGATGATCTGGCCCTTCTATCCCAAACGCAACAACAAATGCAGGAGAAGACGACCAGTGTAGCAGCAGCCTCAGCAGCAGTAGGTCTCAATGTACACAAAGGGAATAGCAAGATTCTCCGATACAACACAGCATGCACCAATCCAGTCACGATTGACGGAGAAGATTTGGAAGATGTAAAAACCTTAACATATTTGAGCAGCATCATTGATGAACAGGGTGGATCTGATACAGATATGAATGCGCGGATCGGAAAAGCAAGAGCAGCATATCTACACCTGAAAGACATCTGGAACTCGAAACAACTGTCAACCAAAATCAAGGTCAGGATTTTCAATACAAATGTCAAGACAGTTCTACTGTATGGGGCAGAAACCTGGAGAACTACGAAAGCCATCATCCAGAAGATACAGGTGTTTAATAACAGTTGTCTACGCAAAATACTTCAGATCCATTGGCCGGACACTATTAGCAACAACGTACTGTGGGAGAGAACAAACCAGATCCCAGAGGAGGAAGAAATCAGGAAGAAGCGATGGAAGTGGATAGGACACACATTGAGGAAAGCACCCAACTGCGTCACAAGACAAGCTCTCACATGGAATCCTCAAGGCGAAAGGAAAAGAGCAAGACCAAAGAACACATTACGCCGAGAAATGGAGATAGACATGAGAGAAATGAACAAGAATTGGATGGAACTAGAAAAGAAGGTGGAGGACAGAGTGGGTTGGAGAATGCTGGTCGGCGGCCTATGTTCCATTAGGAGTAATAGGCGTAAATAAGTAAGTAAATTATTATTATTATTACATTCCTCCTTCACTTATGTCTTATATTCTGATTATTTTATTTATAAATACTCATCATATCACCTTATTTATTTTTTACATCTCTATGACCTTTAATTATTATTACAAACATTTTAATCATCTTATTATATTCACTAAATCTATTGTTACCATTCCTATTACGTAATCTAGTATTATAACCTTTATTACGTCATGGTTAACTGTGTTCACATTTCCTCACGGAATTAGTACTTTTACAAGAACAAAATTTTCATATATATATATATATATATATATATATATATATATATATATATATATATATATATATATATATATATATATATATATATATACGATTGTACAGCTTGATAATTAATTCGTTGAAAAGAGATCCCTTCGCTGAACTTCGTGTTTTAATTTTAATGTTTAAATGAAAATTATCTGTTAAAAGAAATTCAAGGTAATACTTAGTAATAACAGTAAAATATAAATATGAGTGCTAAATTATTAACTGTATACGTTATACAATAAATATTGATGATTATAATAGATGGTCTAAACTCAATAGGATGGGATAGAATACAATTTGTATATTATTGGCTCAAAATCAACCTCTATATTTATTTTAAACACAAATTTAAATGATAAAAGCTGAATCGAAATCAAATAACAAGAGAACTTTTAGTCAGTGGTATCATAAAGACATGGTAAAAATACTGTAGATTGATATCGATTCGCGCTTATTTAAATTCATAGCTACTGTGAAGTAGAGAGTAATTATCTCGCCATTTAACATATGCGAACAATGTCATGCTATAAAAATAAAACTATGAGAGTACATGATGAAACAATTGTTTCACAAGTGAAAACTAATATTTACTTCTTAACTGAAGATATTGTACTAAAAACCACAGTAAACAACAATCATGGACTGCAGTTTGGTTCATAGCTCAAACGATCGTCATTAAATATATTCTATTAACATTCATCTCTTTTTTAAAATTAGTAGATTTAGGTAATACTGAATTTCTACTCAAGTAATTCAGATCTCTAATGTTTAATTAGAGTGCGAAAAAATTATATTCAACAATGAAACCTTCTCCTCTCAATACATCTTCATCAGGCATACTAGACTATATGATGGTACCAGATACTTAGGGCGTTAAGGATTTAGCTAACAATTAAAAAAGGTGATCCTTTTATTACTTAATTAATTTCATCTCTTACAACGTGTTTCTAAAGATGTCTTGGATCTATCTTCGTGTGTATTTTTCTCCATATGCACAGAGATTATGCGAAACACTCATTTTGTGGGAGAATTTTATGCATGAGTAATTCTCGCCTGTTGATGTCTTAGAGGATTTCGTCATCATAATTATTTAGTCCCTTAATAATAACTTATTTATTTAAAAAATATTCAGATTATGTACGCTGGCGGCCTGCTTGAATATCTGGGCTATCTGTTCCTGCCATCTAGATATTTCAACAAGTTTTCTGTTTCCTTGTGTGTTTTAACGGATCGTTATATCAATTAATTGCATAACATATTCAGGTGCGTTTGTGAAAAGTTTACGACCTTTCGCTGTACAAGTTACAAAAATTTACAACACCGTTATGGCTGGCAATGTGCAATGAAAAGAATGAATATTACACAGATGTCGAATTCTGAAATGCTAATATCTAACTGGCTATCACTCAATATTTATCGTTAATATCGACCAAGAAATATGAAATGGGAACTCACTGAAATGCTTTGTGCCGAGAATTCTATATTGTACCAAAAATATAATAAAGCTAGTAATAATAGGCCACAAAATGGTTCGTTTATTTTAGTAGACTAGATTTTGTTAAATACAAAGTTTGGATGTGTAATTTGAAACTGATACACGTTATCTATAATGAAGTAGACGACAATATCAAAGACAAGCTGGCTTTTCAAACCACCTGAAATAGAGATTCGGTAGCGCTATATACGTAACTGTAAAATGGATCAAAGTATGTTAAGAACTTACTTTATCACAATGAATCCCAGCAGCTGAATCAGCCTGAGAAGTATGACTCTTTGTAGAAAAAGATGCTCGGGAGATTGAATTTCTGTAGATATTTTCTGCGGAATCATAACCAATCAGTGTGTTTGTTAAACGCCTCCAGCGGACAGCATTTGTCGTGGGTGTGGGATTAGCTTCCGATTGACAAAATAATTCAGCCTTTTTACCAGAAACTGTCACATTTACTGAAGGGGAACCAATTAATTGCGGCCCATCTTGTAACATAATTGATGACGGTTATCAATTGATCAGAGAACAATGGTTAACAATAAACAATCGGTTACGTAATTATGGTAAACAAGATATGAATATTTATAACATACGCTCAGTTAGCAAACACCTTGAGAAACGACTTTTTGAAAATATGGTTATTCTACAACATTGAAAACTGATATGTATTACCTACCTAGGGATTTTCATATCTATCATCTACAACATAATATGAGATATGATTGTTCACAGAAATTTACTACTTTATAAACTGTTTCACTTTATAAATATGATAACTTTTGAGTGGGCTGTAATGAATGTCTTTGTTGTAAGTATTTCATTTTCAAACTAATTTACTGTTATTTTGTACACAACGACCAATATGTTTGGGTGGATGTAACAATTTAAAAGGAATCTATTTAGCTATAAAGAGTATTGAAAAAATTCTTGTGAATAATTGAGAACAACTCAAGTTATTTTTATAAGGATTTAAAAAATAAGTTTCCCATGTAGCCAGTTTATCTGCGATTTAATATGAAATGGTCAGATGTTTCACTGTACTATGGTGTAAGATGATCAAATGGCTGTTAGAGTTGCCAAGCCTACACCTTTAATAATAAAAATCAAGATATTACGTTTGACTTTTATTCGATAAGTATTTTATGTAAATTTTGTTTCAATCAAATTGACACCACAATATCCGAATACAGATCATGAAAATTGATGCACGAAAATGTAGAACCTAATTTTTTTATTTGTGTGCTTTTTTTAATTTCGGTCACTGGAATAGTTAAAACTACAAATATGGAGTAAAATTAAAAATGCTAGTCTTAATATTTTGTCGGAGTATAATTCAACCGTGGTATCCAATAAATACACAGTTTTAATCATAACTCTTTTTATGAACAATATAGAGATAATGCATCCAAAAATATTGGTTTTTTTGGAAACGTCATAATTTGAAGTTTGACCTCCTCTTTTATCATACACTTATTCATCGGTTCTCTCAGATACGTAACCTATTTTAATAAATAAATTGGCATTACGCTGTTTGGTTGAAAAATTAGGGCAAATGATTTTGATTAATCAGATATCTTGCTTTAAAATGGCATAAAATAAAAGTAAAGATATGGCATCTAAATTTATCTTCCACTCTAGTCGTGACTGCATAGCATCCTTCTTCTATTGAACTAACAAGACATCTAGGATTAAGATGTTTTGATTATCAAAAACTTAAAAGATGACATCACGAGTCAATTAAAGACAGACCATTATGGAAAACCTGCTAACAGTGGACGACCATTTCATCCTATTCTGCAACTCCTCAGCAGTGCTCATCCATGATGTCAACCCGCGAGATTGAAACCCAGGACATATTGGTCTCGCGCGCGAACGCTTAACCTCTAAATCATTGAACCAACATTCACGAAATTGATCCACATGTCCATCATGAATTTCTTGTAAGTTAATGATATACCTATTTTACTTTTAAGTCATATAGTGACAAATAATCAGTAAGTTTTAAAAATCACTCCACAGAAACATTTTCAAGTTTATTTAACACTATATCACTAAATGTATCAGTAAAATTAATGATTTCAAAGCAATTCTTCAGTTTTATTTATCATTATTATCTCTTAACTGAAAATCTTGAAACAGCATCTAATGTGATTAAAATTCTTTTCCATCAATAGAAAAAAAAAGAAAAAAATATGAATCTTAGTGATATCCTATGGTTTATCAATTAATAGTTAAAAATAATTTTTTCCTTAACAACAAATTACATTTTATAGATTTAATATTAATGTATTACATCATTGTGAATATTGTAAAAAAGAAGAAACAATATTATGTAATAAATAAATAATTTATAACTTACAAGTTACATTTAAAAAGAATGTAAATTCTTTACTCCCTAGAGCATTAGTTACAATCAGTGTGTAATTGGCCATATCTGATCGTTTAACAGGATGAATAAATAATTTGGTTGGTTGTACGATTAAACGTTGATTTAAATCTTCAATAGAATATGATTTAGAACTTTTATTAACTTCTTCATTTTTGAATGAATTCAATATTTTAATTGGATTATTTGATAATGGAAGTGGTATGCCATTTCTAAACCATGATGTTTTACTTAATGATGGATTAGAAATAGGCTCTAAATCTAAATCAAGTGATCCACCTGAAGGAAATTGAAAATGTAACAAATTTATGAAATGATTTCATTTTAATTCACTTTTGTTATGACACAAATTTAGCATAAACTAAAAAATTTATTTCATACGTTCAATTTATGGTCACAATGACAAAGTCGAAGAATGCTTATAGATCTAAACAGTTGGAAAAGGCAGTGGAATCAAGTTGTTTATGCCATTCAAATTAGTAAGAAAATATTATTGAAGATTGGTCATTTCAAATGTAATTTTACTCAGAAGTTTGATTGAACTAATCGTGATAGTGTTAGATGGAGTAATCGAATACAATCGAGTACAAAAATCGATAGCGGATGTTTGGCAAATAGTGATAGTTTCATGCATGTCTTTTGGATTCAGGGAACGTCTAGCTCTAAAAATAAAAATAAAAATTCACAAACCTGTACGAAACATATTTGTTGTCTATAAAATTATTCTCTTGGCTATTCTGAATAAATATCAAATTCGGTTGCACAATGTAGTTCAAACTTTTGTTCACTTGTAGAATTTTGAAGAAGGTTGCACTATTGTGGAGACTAGTGACAAATTCATTTGACTTAGCAGGAGGATAACCATTTATTCTTGTAATTATAAGAACAATGTTCAGTATATTGTTATTGATTTCTTCTAAACAGAAACTTATAATTAACACAGTAGGTTAAACCTTACTATTGCATAATCGATGTAATGAGAATAACAAAATTGTGATATGTGAAACAAATCCAATCTTTTTTTGACGAACGTGATCACACTTTATTTTATGAAACATATGAGGTATATCTGACCTAAGAAATCAATAAATAAGTTTGTCACAGTGTATGCTCTCACAGAAACAACCTAAATATATCAAGATGAAGACAATGGTGAATTCACCTGAAACACAGTATATACCAAATAGAACACCAATCATTGTTTGAAGAAAACTAAAGGACCTAAAATAGTAAGCTATGAAGACGATACTTAATGAATGAAACTAGTCACAGAATTTAGAATAAGTTGATTTAGGAAGAAATACTAGTTACATTTAACCAGTTATGGTGGTATTTCCAACCCATTACAAACATTTTACTATGATAGTTTATTTTCACTACATCTTTTATAAGTTTACGTAAGTGTTTGTAAATATTGCTGTCATTAAACATTGTAATAGTTGATATAGTATTTTTGATGTTTATTGCTGAAGTAAATGATATCTCTGAGGTAGCAGCATAATATGCTCAGTACATGACTACTGACTCGCTTAGTAACAATAGCATAATTTGTCTAACACCTATACCTAATAGCCCCCACCAATTTTTAGATATCATTCGACACACGATTTATGATAAATTCATTGCTGAGGTTTGATTTCTGTCTTCTCTTGATGTTTGTGATAAGAACTGTTTCAAAAACTACGTTACTCCTATAAATAGCAGTCAACATTTCGCTCAGTTATGAAACGTTTTGCTAAAGATTATCAATAACCTTAGTTGCTAAAAATTCATTTTTAATGAACAAGAATAATGTAATTTTAACTTTTAGATTACTTATTATTGTTATCTACGGCTGCTGTTACGATCAATACCGTACATAAGAATAAAAACAAACACGGGTAAAGCAGAATATTTGTTTAACAAAGAAAGTGATTATTGTATCATATGGTTATTACTTTGAAATTAAGTGACCTCATTTCCATTTGATATCCCAGTAGATTTGCTTTCTTGCACCCTTTGATTTTCAGTGATTCATTGTACGATGTTGGACTGTAATAACAATCAGGTTTTTTATCATATACCTTTATCATTGAAGTATATCACGTCTCATGAGATTAATTTGTAACTAAGTTACAAATCAACTATTCAAGGTCATTTACAGTAATACGTTTGAAGTAATGTAATTATTATAATCTCAGGCATTGTATCATAATTAAGTTGAAAATTAAAAAAACACTCAGTATTGTTACCGATTTCTAGAAACTGAGTCAACTGAGTAGATATTGACAGCAAAAATGGTCTTCGTGTAAATTGATTTTTACAAATAAGATAAATCTTGTGAGTATTCTTAGTTCTATAAACTCTTTTGGCTTCGATAATAAAGTGTATTGGTTGTACTTTCCAGGGATCTCATGATGATTACATCTTACACTTTGAACAAGACATTGTTAAAAAAGACTCTAAACGAACAATCTCAAAAATTTCTTTTCAAGGATCTCTTTTATTATCAGTCTTCTGTTCGTTTTAAAAATGTTTATCTGTATTAAGTCAAGATTTTTAATATTCAATAAATTTCCGTGACATTATATTACATATGGATTTGGAGGACAAATCCAAATCATGAGTCCAAGGAACACCCTAACAATTTTATTCTTCTTATTGTAAGCACCGTTCACTTTGCTTATTATCAATAGGAGGTAAACTGTTGAAAAAACTATTATCTAAATCTTCAAGAACTTGAAATTTTTACTAAACATTTCATAATCAAACGATGGAAATGATTATAAAATCATACTGAAAATGTGATATACTGAGTATGTTCTGAAGCATTTTTTTGAAAATAGGCTATTAACGAAGATCAATCCTTGTTTTACTAAAACACTTAATCTTTTATACTTGTATAATACTGGTTATTTAAAATTTGAATTCATGAGTCAACTGGAGCTAGACCACCATGGAAAACCTGAAAGCACTGAATGGCTGTTTCGTCCTAGTATGGGACTCCTCAGCAGTGCGCGTCCACGATCCCGCCTCGTGACATTCGAACTGCTGAGGAGTCCTATACTACGACGAAACGGCCGTCCAGTGCTTCCAGGTTTTCTATGGTGTTCTAGCTTTAATCGATTCATGATCTCAACTATTAAACTTCATTTTGTTGAGATTTAGTTTGGTAGAAATTTATTCATCTTATGGAAATACAAGTATTAGATGTTTTAAATTGTATTTAAGATTACTGCTGCATTCAACTCTAATTTAATTATAACCAGATTTACCTTCAACCACAATATAATGTGGTAAAAATTGTTCATTATTATTTGATGAATTCAACTCTACAGGCCAATTCAATTGTTTTGCTAAAGTTAAAAATATCGGTGGAAATTGAATAGAAAGTAAAATATGTGAATTTAAAAGTGTAAGGGCTTGTGAATGTGTATTTTGATAATAAGGTTTAGACAGTGTGTATTTATCGAATGATTGTAAATGAACAGAACTGTTAGTATAATCAATTGGATGTTTTCTTATTAAACATTCAATTAAATCTCCATCATGTGATATATTTATAGGAAGTTCCAAATGGCTATTTAAGATGTGAAGTTTGCCTGACTCACTAATCGTTTCTTCCATTTTACTACCTAAAAACAAAATAATTGATGAAAAATGAAGTAGCTATATCAAAAATATGATGCAAAATATGTGTATACATAAAGATTACATGATAAACTGACTTCAACTGAACAACCATTGAAAACGAAGGGATGCTGAACAGCTAGTAGTCCCTCGTTTAGAACCTCTCAGCTGTGCTTAATTTAAAGCCTTCAAAAAGGGAACCATGGAGTTATAATTTCTCATTATGAGGGTTAATTTTGGAGTTCTGAGTCAGAAACTAATTGTCCGCAATCCTCTTTCTGTTCAATGACTTCCACTTCAAAATAGTCATTGATTGTCATCGAAGATGATTTGCTCATAGTAAACATAGTAATCACCTTTCCTTCTAGAGTCGCGGAAGTTCTTGTCAAACCATTCAGAAATGATTGTTGTGAAAATTATTGCATTTTAACATAGTAATGCTACCATATTCTAGCCAATAAATGATAGAAAACTAAGAAGGATTGGTGGATAGTGGCTAGCAGTGGAATCCAGGACGCGTGTTTCGTCCTATTTGGGACTCGTCAGCTGGGTGCATCTGCATCTTAGAGAGTTGATGTTCACTCTGGGACTCGAACCCAGTACCATTCGCTTCAAACGCCATCGCGTTATCCATTGAGATACTGAGTGGCTATCAGGACTCAGTAAATGAGCGGATAACGCGATGGCGTTTGAAGTGAACGGTACTGGGTTCGAGTCCCAGAGTGAACATCAACTCTCTGAGATGCAGGTACACCCAGCTGACGAGTCCCAAATAGGACGAAACACGCGTCCTGGATTCCACTGCTAGCCACTATCCATCATTGCTTACAAATAGCTTGTGAATTCAGGCAATATCGATGCATACGCACACTATGCACATATGCCAATCACAGACTGATCAATTGCAGTGTTAAACCTCAGTGGGAAGATACAAGCCAAACAATACCAAGTGTAAGAAGGATTGGTTTCTTGCATTCCCGATCAGAGAATAATCTCTGGTAAAGTTTTGAGCGCAAACTGTCAAAGAGTCCGAAACAAAGATAAAAAAAGCGTGCAGCGCAGCTTGTTTCTAACTGATTAGCAGACAATATCATTATTTGATGAAAAATAGCTTTTAATGTGAAATGATTGGTTCTCAGTGATCAGAATACAATTCGTTCTTCGAATCTTGTTTTACGATCAACTAAATTATTTTGGAAAATATCCGTTTTAATAACATTGATATTAATTAGATTGTAATTAAAATAATAGTTACCTGTTAAGTGAATATTCTGACAGCTTTTAAAAAATGCATCATATGGATCATTTTGTGATTTCATATCGTTGATTGTATCGTTGATTCCTCTCATAATTGATGCAAATTGAACAGGTGAACAATGATGAAGTTGCCATTCTAGTTCAGGTTTTGGATTTGACATTTCAACTTGACACATTAGTTTCAGTGCATGACCAGCTTTTGCTTGGACTATTGGAATATGTCCAACATTGTATTTTGATTTATAATAACTTAAAATAGTTTGAAGTTCATCACGTAATTTTGATCGTGCTATCATTTGTCCAGTTCCACTTATGACACTAATATTTAAAACTGTTGCTGAATAGGATACACCAATTTCTACTGGTAAACTGAATTGTGCATCCGAATATCCGTAACCAGGATTCACAGTTCCACATCTAAATAAAATTGAATTAACGTTAGAACATCTATTGCAAGTCTGAAAAGTAAATCCTGTGATTCTAAATAAATCTATATTCTACCCATTTTAATGACAAAATGTCACTTCCATCGATGAAAAAGGTGTTATAATAATATTTCGAAACTCCTACATCATTGACCTCTATTTATACGATATATAAGACACATAGTTTGGATATAATGGAATCCATATTTAAAGTCTATCGGTGTTGTATAATGTCTAACGATAGGTAATACGTAGGGTGTCATCGATAGTTTTGGTTACACTGACGAAATTTTTAATTATCATATTGAATATAAAGAAATTCGATTTTAAATCAACCCTTAAAAAAGTATTTTGTGTAACGAGGCTTTATTACGTCATCTAGAACAGCTTTCTTATCGTTATAATAAATTGCTCAAGTTCTTAGGTCATTCAGAAGTTTGGAATCATATTCGATACTGGCAATTTTTTTCATGGTCACTTTATATCTAAGACTATATATTGACTAACTAACTTATACACTAACTAATTTTTAACTGTGGTATCATTGCCTTGAAAATTGTTATTTTAGATTCGCTGTAATTAGTTATTTAGATGTGATGGTCATATGATATAATCATGTGCTTCTATAAGAGACCTATAGTATATTGTTATGCTCAAGAAGAAATATTACAATATATAACATATTTTTGTTGTTTTCTGCCAACTGAATAAAGAGGTTTAATTGAATTCATACTGATGATCTACAAGATAAATATATTGGAATGTATCATCTAGTAATATAAATCACTGGATCAGAAACTTTGAAAAGACTGACTGCTTCGGACACTTGAAGATTTTAAGAAAAATTATGTACAAGCACTGTTACAAAAAGATGTTTTTTATTATCCTCTTTCTCTAATCTGTAAAATTAAATTGGATATAAACCTAGAATTAGCCACAATATCATTAGATATTTTGCTTAAATCTTTTTATTGTAAAGCAATGTTGAATAAAACAGTTATTAGATCGAATCACATTTAATGAAAAACAAATTAGTTTATCCTTCAATTACAATCGACTATTTATTACATATTCAGAGGGATCTCGCGTGCGAACCCGCTAGGTCCTGGGTTTGAATCTCGTGAGGTTGGATTGTGGATGTGCGCTGCTGAGGAGTCCCATAACAGGAAGAAACAGTTGTTTAGTGCTTCCAGGTTTTCTATGTTGGTCTACCTCCAATCAAATTATGAATTCAATGAATAAATTAATACATATTCCTTAAACAACTTCATTGTAAGAATCCAATATTGAATTCTTTTCCATGTGATTTCCACATTATCATTCACCACATAACACATTTATCTCTTTTATAATTCCTTTTTGATTAAAGTACAAAATATATTTTATTTCATCTAAAAATAAATATCTCAATATAGTAATCTGATATTTCTAAATAATCATTCTCTAATAACAATGTATCTGTGAGTTACTCTTATTGATATATCGTTATTAATATGATTATTTCAAATGACATGGTATAATGGTATAATGGTGGCAATTATTCTTCTTAATGTAACATTGTCACTTCATCTTATACTATTATAATTAGTCTGTCGGGATTATGCCTAAACATATTAGTAGTATTAGTAACAACATAATAAAAAAATAATATAGATAAAATAATATAATAACAATAGTTATGAAAAAATCATGATAATGATAATGAAGAAACAACTCCAACTTTGATAGAATAAAGAATAATGCATATCACTGTCATTAGTATAATTACAGAATTGAGATAATAAAAGGGACGAAACATTCATTTATCATTCAATTGAATAAGTATAACTAGATACATGATTATAAAAGAATAGTAATCTCTATAATCAATAGTTTACGTAGGAAATCAAACTTATATTTGAACATTCACATTTTTGTAACCATTATTTACTATAGAAGATGAAAAACTTCGAAGTGTGTTTGAAATAAAGCAAATGTTTAAGATCTATCGTTTGTGATGATTTGATAATATGAATTAATAAACTGATTAAGTTTCTACTTTTAATTTTTGTATGAAGGTAATGTTGAAGAGATCTGGAATATTCCTTGAAAAAGTTAAGTGGGGCCTTGAAAACGCTAGGAAACATTTTATTTAATAAGCGTTGAATAGACGTTTCTCAGAGATGTTTAGAAAGTGAAGAGTCAGAAGTTACATTTCTGATTGGATTATTTCATATCCTGCTACTATTTTTGTTCGCGTCATAGAACCCTTCAGAAGCTCAAGGTTATTTGGAATGCTATAAATACTCCAAAGTTTCTGTACATGAACTAACCTTGGAATAAAGCGTTGTTTCCATATTTCGCGCCTTTTCTCTCGTGTTCAAGTTGTTGTGTAGAGTGAACCTGAGGTTATTAGAAGAGTTTAGGAAACCGATTCAAGAGTTCAGTCAGAAGATTTATTAAGTTACTGATACTACGTGAGTGATTAAATGGATGTTAAGAGAGGATGAAGTAGTCATTATCGTATATTAATTATTTTAATAGCTCCAGTAAGAATTTCTACAAAGCGACTTCAAAACTATCGTCTAGAGTGTATTTAAATTACTTTCAGTATAAGTAAAAGTTTCTGATTAGCCTTCATTTATAATTCCATACTGGACTTATTAGATAATTTCATTCACAACATTTTATTTTTGATTGAATAATGTTTATTTATCATCATGGTGAAATTTCTAGAGTTGTTTAATTGCTCATTGCTTCAATAAGGAACACACACTGAGTATCTAACATAACAAATCATTACTCACCTAAAAATCGCTCCATCATATGATTTTGTCAGATTAATATTTAATATTGAATAAATCATTCCATCAGGATATTTGTTCGATTGATTTTGTTGAATAATATTTGACTCATCAATTAATTCACTTTCATTGGTACCTTTTAATACTGAAGGAATAATAAAAACATAAACAGAATATAAATTCAGGAAGTTAAAGTAAGTCAAGTTGTTTCATTAGAGACAGAACGACAGTTAATCTATTTTAACTATCTTAGAATTATCTACAGCAAGCGGTAAGTACAACTGAATGTTTACTAACAAATATGTTTACTAACTTATCGGTCACACCTATTGTTTATGATAAACAAATGAAATAAACATAAAACAATTGATGACTGTTGATTAATCAGTGTTAGTCATAAAGAAAGCCAAAATAAAATTCACTTATGTGAGAAGTGTTCCTTAGTATTGTATAGATGTGGCCAATGACTAAAATCAGTGATTCCAGGTAACCGTTTTTAACTAGCTGGTTCAAAAATAACGAACTGCTGTGAAGCGTGAAGCTTCTCGATTTTATCTGTAGTGGAGTTCATATAAAATGGTGAGGAACTGCATACTAAAATTAGATAGTTGTCGAATGCCTCCTGTTTGTCAATGTTGTCTAGTTGAGGTTAGTCCGTGATTTAAAATATCGTTAAATTAAAAAATTCTTGGACATCTATTCGTGATTATCTGCTTAACTGATTGATTTAGGCTCAAAGGTATATTACGCTTATCTATTAAGAGTAATTAGAAGACAAACTTTATTATTTGACAAATTGTTTAGTCATTGGTTTTCACTACATCAGTATATTAGTTACCGTAAGATGGTTAATTCATCACTTATTAGAGTAAATAAATTAATAATATCGTACCTTGAAATTCCTAGGTATCTTGTTTTACGATAAACAACCACAGCTTTAAAATTGTAATACACTTTTTTTCAAAGATTTGATGAATCATTTACACAGAAATATTGCCATTGTTGTAAATATTACTGAACGCCTAGTATAAAACTGATGTAATTAAAATGATAGGAATGAAGTAATGAAAGGAACACGTGAATTATAACTTGTCAGATGTAACTGTTATTAAAACAGCAGGATGTCAATCTAGTAGGATAGAAAGGTTTCAACAGGATTTAAAGCTTTTCATTACTTACATGTAATGGATATAGTAGGCCGTAAAAGATCTTTGTTGATGTACAAATCATCACTAAGTCAGGTGTAGATTTAGGGTTTTATGAACGTAGTAATAAATAGTTGAATCATGAGATGTATTTTCAAATATCAAGAAATAGACAACCAAAAATCAAACGCCAACTCTAACTTATTAGCAGACCTAAATTTTGAACGCGTTCATGGATTAAATATTCCCATTAGTCTTACCTTGAGTCCAAACTAGTTTTCCTGGAGGATTTCCTTGTTCTCCTGTGCAGTGAAGTGTTAGTATAGTGCCATCTGCCAATAATGTGCCTTCCTTATATCCCGTAATTGTCGGAATGCGAGGGATGGCTAAAAAAAGAAACAAGTTTTAAGGAATAATAACAACTAAATTAGCTTTTTGAAAACGCATTCCATGATTTAGTCACCATATTTCCATGACAAACTTATCTATATACTGTAGCCAGTTTGCATTGCGTCATAAACAACGTTACTTGCTAGTGAAAAATTATCATTCAACTCAAGGCCTAATTTAGTCACGACAGAGTTGTCCACTTGTGAGCTTGAACAGTCTTATCAAAATACAATAACCGCAAAATCATATATACTGTCGAACTCTTTTGACAGAATACGTTTTCTAAGCTTCAACATTGTCATAATGTAATAATAGTAATGAAGTATCAATTAAAGTAGCCACGAAAAACGTCACCACAACGAAATGTGTGATACATTGTCTTCGTAAATAAGTGCATCAATAATAAATATTCAAAAAATGTTTTGAATCCATTTTCGACGAGCTGTTTAAACTGCAATTTCTCTAGCCTCTCCTTTAGGTGAGGGACAAACTCCACCTTTTTTCTTAATTTTGACCCTACACATAACAGACAAACAAAAAGAAGTAATAATTATTGTTTACATCATCGCAATCCATCATGAAAGACGTGTTTCCTTCTCTGCCGTTTTTCTGGCTCGCATGAAAAATGCAGAGTTTCGTATGATGAAAATAACACTCCATCATGCTACGTGTCAAATGTGGCACACTCAGTCGTGATAAAAAATTAACATAGCAAACGTCATACCTCCGAATAATTCTACAATATAAATTATTCTAAATTATCTACAATTGAGTGGCTAAATGAATGAAAACGTAACAGTAATTACTGACTGCTCTGCATCTAGATTACATGACAACGTACAGTTTATCTTCGAATATGATTCGGTTATATAAATTAGAAATGGTGTATTTCACGCCAAATATATATTTAAGTACTACGAAATTTGTAACTATCAAGGCTCGAAGGCTACAACAAAAATTATACTGTATGCATATGCTAATTACATATTACGAAATGCTCTGTAAGATATCGAATTATAATAATTAAGGTGAATTCATGTGACTGTAATGCAAAATAGGAATGAAAACGTCGTCTGGATTATCTGGATAATACTAATAATAAGATCATTTAAATGTCCATGGGTAGAAGGGAGAGAATAGACAAACTTGCAGTTTATAATAAACAACTGGGAAAAAAAAGAAATTTGATGGCATTACATATTTATCGTATGAAGATAAAAGTATTTCAAATAATTTTCAACTTAAGTATCTCTTATTTTCAGTCAGAATAATTGACAAGTGTAGAATATACTCGAAAAGAGTAATGGCTTTTAATTCTACAATTATTTCTCACTTTAAAAAAAAGGCAATACCTACTATACATTTCCAGATTGACCTTGTTCGATATAATTTTTTTATTTTCTTCTCTGAAATAACTTGGTAAAGCACTGCATTCTATTTCTGTCCACATTAAAGCATTTCGTTTTTGATTTGTTGTAACCAGTTGTATAATTGATGCCTGAATTATATTAAAATTATTTAATGCATCAGGTTCATTACGTGGAAATGATTCGACTGGAGTAATAACTTCCCAATTTTCACTGTTATGTAATTTACCCCGCCATTTTATCTCAACCTGTCCATAATACTCATCAGTAACACATGATAAATACTGTGGTCTGTCTAAATAAACATACAACTTTTGTTTATTTACAGTAGTCACTGTGCTTTTATTATCTGCTCTCTCTAATTTATCATAAACATTTACTTTTTGTTTCAGTTCAGTTATTCTTTCATAAGGACCATGTATATTGACATGCTGCGGACCATCTGAAATTTAAAAGTAAAGTACTTACGATTTTTTTCATTTTCATAAAGATATTATCAGAGATGATAATTAACAGAAAAAACGATAGGATTCTTTACCAAACTGGAACATATTGGCATTTGAAACGCTGTCACAAAACAAATGCAACTTATAATTCGCAACCGTTAATCAATGAATAATCCGAAGATCAACTATTGATTTTAAACACTTGTCTATTGAAACTTCTTGTTATTTTAATTCTATTATCTTATTTTTTTTAAAAACTACAGTAACATTCAGAATGTCAACTTGTCATGTTTCTTGTGATTTCATCTTTCCAAATAGATACAATATAACTCATCATTGCATAGTTGTTATTATTATTTAGATCAATATTATAATCGAACATACTTCGGAAGATCTACATCAACGAATTTCCGCAATCCTACCAGTAAATTCTGTTCGGCTATTTATAATGGAATAAATTTTTTCTTAAATTGTTCCTGAGCAAGACACTTCACTTTATTGTACGTTATCAATGCAAAGTTTATGATAGATACATGAAATACTTAAAAGAATGTCATTTAGCCGCATCAAATTAAGTTTGATAAGAAACAGATTGAATTACAGTCTACATACATTTTTTGGTGAAGTTTTGTTCTCTGAGCTGGATGGTTTGGTCGTGAAGCTTTCATCGTTCTTCTGAACGATGGAGAAATTCAAACACTTCACTTCTATCTGAAGTTTGTGCTGATGATGTCGTTCAGAAGAACGATGAAAGCTCCACGACCAAACCATCCAGCTCAGAGAACAAAACTTCACCAAAATCATACACCTGAGCTACAAATCTTCTCCACCATCTAAGTCTACATACGTACTTAACTAAAATCAGGCAATACAAACCTTGGTTCGGATTATCTTTATAAAAACCTGTAAATGTATGAAAAACTATCAGTTGTAGATATTTAATTAAGAAAGTTATTCTGATCGGAAAACTATTTCCACCAGTTCTTAATTTCCTAACCAATCCATGAAACGTTTTAATCCTGTTTGTTTGTTTTTTTGCTTGGAAAAGTGATAAATAATTTTGGCTAGAGTGTAAAAAGAAAATAGTTATCATTTTATCCTCAAGTGAAAGTTATCCGTTTACTGGTTTATTAAACGTTCTGAATTAAAAGTGAAACAATTTAGTCAATGGTAAATTTATTGCGAAAAAAGGAATCTTTACGACTAACATGTTTATTGAAAACGTCTATAATAATAATTATAAAAACTCAATTCCTTCAATATATATTCAACAGTTGGCTTGAAAATTAATAGTTGCGCTGATTATATAAAAAAGTAAATTGTTTCAAAACTTATTAATTTTGTTATTTGATCACAGTCAGATATACAAAGGATATTGATAGGGTGTATGAATCCAGATTTTCATACTACTTCTATATTACGAGGTTTTAAACTCATTTGAACAGAGAGGAATCTAAACCTTAATATAATGAAAATACAGTGGTAGTTGTAAACACCAAAATTAGAATACCATAAATATGTATATAATGTCACTGTTTTATGCCAAACTACTGACTTATCCTAATCAAAGTCTTTTTAATTTCATTATGTTTATTTTTGTATCCGTTATTGTTTCGGTACTAAAATTGAATATATATAATTTAATATCAGAAGGGGTTTTTGTAGATATTATATTAATTTCAATAATTGAGATCATGAGTCAATTGAAGCTAAACCACCATGGAAAATCTGCAAGTACTAGATGGCCATTTCGTCCTATTGTGAGACTCCTTAGCAGTGCGCATCCGCGCTTCCTCCTCTCGATATTCGAACCCAGGACATTTAGGTCCTGTGTGTACACATCGTACAAAAAAAGAAATTGGTAAAGTTCTTAAATATACTCAAATTCATGTAGATCGCGCGCAAGCGCCTAACCTATAGACCAATGAGCCGGCATTTGAATACAATAGTCCAATTAATTCATTCTATGGCTAAGATTGTTATTGATTAATTGACCTTGGGATTGGCCAGGGGAGGAGGAGCGATTGAAGATACTTTTTTTGTACACAATGCTCCTGTTTCTTTATCCGGATGGCTACTACTTAATCTATTTGAAAGACATTTAGTCTGACAAGCTTTGGCAAAATATTACTGACCCTATAAATAATTGAGAAGGATCGGTTTATACTGACACTATCACTACTTTGTACTAAATGGGCCAATATAGATCTGTCCACTTTCCTCACTAGACCTTTGCTTAGACACGCTGGGAGGTGTTCTTTTTACTCATATAGAAATAAGATAAATGTTAAAATTCATAAGAATGATCTTCGGAACATTAAAATGAACGGGAAAATAGAATATTCGATCTATACAAAAACTGTGAAAAAAGAATTTCAGGTTACTAGATATTAATTTTTTTTAAACATCATGTTGTTTTATATATGAAACAGTCAAATCACTTCTGCATATATATATAAGCAACATTGTAATACATTTTCTATTGAAGAATATAAGACTATATATCCAAAACCGTACAAAATTATAAACAACATGTAATCGAGTCATTCGAACTAGATGATTGTTTATAATAGGAAATAATGTGTCTTCTAAGTAACGTATGATTTATTTCAGTGAAATAAAACGTTTTCTTATTATATATTTAAAAGCCTAAATATTACATTCCGTTTAAATAAAATAAGGTATATTAAATATATAAAGGAAATAATTTACCATTAACATTTTAGTTACAATACTGATAACATTGAATCAGATTAGCAAAGATTTAGTTTTTTATGATTGAGATCATGAATCAATTGAAACTAGGCCACCATAGAAAAACTAGAAATTTAATTAGTTTACATTTTGACTATTTTCTTTCTATTCATTGTTTGTTTATCATTATTAGTATCATAATGTTTATTTACTTGTTAAAGATAAACAAATGCATTATTCTTTAAGAAATAGTACATCGTCTATCATATATATAGACATTTGTGTATATATAGACTACTTATTATGTATTTCAATAAGGAAGAAATGATTTAGATATTGTTAGGACCCGAATTATACCCAGTAGATTAATTATTGCTTGATATGATGGAAAGAAATGTCAATTTTCGACTGAATTACTCATCATGAGTTATATTCAATATTACATCCGTTTTCATTTAACATGAGAATCATTCAGTGTAGTATTTGATTGTTTTTCCAGTATGATATTTTCTTCTGTATAATATACGATATTCTTGAATTCACTCGACATGAACTATGCTCAGTAAGTGATTTGTTATAACTGAGTATGTGATCTAATCTCAATTATTAGTCAAAATGAGTGTACGATCAATATATAAACCAGTGTATTTTAGACTAGATTCGACTCGTCGTTGTCATAGTGTTTGGGCTAATAAATCTTCACTTATATCAGTCTTGTGTTCTTACTTTCGCATTGTGGGAATTGCCGAGGTCCCTCGTTCCGAGTATAAGTGATCAACGGTTTTTTTCCCGGCACAACAGATATATAAATAATAATGACATTATATTCATTGTAGTGAAAATTATGATAAATGAATCTGCCAATTTATTGCACAATGGGAAATTTCTTTTCACTCTACTCATTTGATACTTTTATAATAAAGTATTTTTTTCAAAAAAAATTATTATAATTCATTTTCAAAATGTTTTAACTATTTACTGTTGCGTGACTAATGAAAGTTTAAATGTCTATATTATGAAGTTTTAACTTTAATTATTCAAACAAATTATACAAACGAATGAAATAAAGAAGGAACGAAATAAAGCAAAAAAAATAAGATAATAACAACCAGGATACTAGACGAAAAGAAAAATTAAAGAAGAAATGTTTTGAAAGTAAAGAATGAGTATGAAACGCTTGAAACTAGGCTAAGGTGTATATTACAAAATGAAGACCATAAGAAGAAAATTAATTAAGAATAAAAATTGATCATTGTACATTAATATGCATCAATAAGTGAATTAAATTATTTTCAATAACGTTTTCTAGGTGTAATGAAACAAACAAATATTGTTACTAGTCACAACAGTTATTGACTGAATGAAGAGCTTATAAAACTATAAAACAACTAGGTCGTTCATTTCTTCTTTCTTTAAATCATTTTACGTTTGTTCCCTAATTTTTCTTTTGTTTCTCTTGTAATTATAATAATAAAGCTAGATTGGTAGTTAACTTTTCTGTCTGTAATAAAATTTCAGCTAATTGAATATTATATCAGCAAAGGTTTATAGAATTCATAATGTAAAATTGATATTAACAAAATGATCTAAGGTGTAGTTATCGGCGTGCTACTACCTAAAAAATAATCACTTGTTGTATAACTTAGCGGAAAAACACTATCATTATGAAGAAAATGAGAAAAATTTCACTTGTTTAAAATGTGAACAAATAATACAGTTTCTATTCAAAAGTAGTATGTGTCATCAACTGAAAGTGAAGTGTCTGGAAGGAGAAGATCAAAGAAGAAAGAACAAGAACAAATTGTGATTAGAGTGGAATCAAAAGAGCAATGAATTTTGAGACGATTAATTCACAATTGCAGAATGAACAGTCAAGTTTGAAACAATTGATTTACATTTTGCAAATGAAGTATTTACTGTATGATTCTCACATTTTACTAAGATGTTCTATAATTTTGTATTCAACTAGATTCTATTATTCCCACATGGGTTCTTGTTCACCACACTTCTACTTTTTAGTTTCATTTATCGTTGTATATAGACGGTCATGTATATTATTATATTATTCAGAAATGTATCTTTTAGTAAAAAGTCAAATATAATGCCGTTTTTTTACGTAAGACAATTTATGTATGCTTATATTTCCAAACATAATTTTGTAACTGTTTGTTAATATTTTTATTGAGTTATGACAATACATGTTAATCAGTGGGAAGACGAAAGTTATCAGAATTATGTGATATACAGTCGCGCAATACATTTTGAACAATTTGATCACAAATATACTTGTTAAAAATAGTTTAATATGAAAATTAAAGGGCCAACTAGACAGGTTTAAAGTATCCGAATTGCCGTAGAAACAAATGAATTACAATGGTCAAATGAGATCACAGGACAGACAGACATCTTCCTCCATTGCGAAACATTTGGTTGAAACTAGTCATAAGGTTGATATCAAGTCAGCCTTTGTAATTTTATACTAAAGCCTTCTAGAACGTAAAATAAAGTTTATTGAAGGCTTGACTATGCGGAAACTGTAACCCCTTTTGTTGTTCAAAAACACCTTGTTCTTACACTGAACCTATCCTAGAAATACTGATTTCTTATCCAGAGTGGTTATCACGTTGTTTTCGTGTACATTAATTTTCTTTGTTACAGCTTACCTTTAACGTGTCTGGTCGACCTTTTATTTTACAAACTAAACTATTCTTAACAAGTATATGTGTAATCAGATTGTTTGAAATGTATTGCGCAAATATATCACATAGTTCTGATACCCTTCGTCTTTTCATTGCATCATCGAAATTTACCAAAGCGATTAAATTTTATTCAAGATTAATTTGTATTTGTAAAAAAACACAAACAACAACAACTGATTTATCGATTTTCAATAGACCAGTTTTAAACAAAGATATATAGTGGCTAGCAATAGAATCCAGGACGACCGTTTCGTCCCATTTGGGACTCTTTAGCCCACAGGAGACTGATCAATTGCAGTCCAAAATAACAATGGCAAGATACAAGTAAAACAACACCAAGTGAATTTAGACCAGTTTTAGTTTACTGATATTTAATAAGACAATAATGCTTCTCAAAAATTTTCTAATCTTTAAAATTAAAAGTGTTAGTGTTCCATATTAAACTTATATAACTCAAAATAAATAGATTTGTAAAAATGTATGGAATGTAGTCCAAAGCGTTTATGATTAAATAATATCAGTTTAAAATACATCAATATTAGAATATAATATTTTCAAGCTGCAGACATATTGTTCATCGTTGTGCAGAAGTTTACTGGGTTTTGAATAAAATCATTAATTTCAATAGTTGAGATCATGAGTCAATTGAAGCTAGACCACCATGGAAAACCCGGAAGCACTGGACAGTCGTTTCGTCCTATTGTGGGACTCCTTAGCAGTGTGCGTCCGCGACTCCACCTCGCGGGATTCGGCCCCAGGACCTATCAGTCTCGCGCCAATCGCTTAACCAACTAGACCACTGAGCCGGCATTCAACAGTGTTACTTAATAAATTGTCATGATAGGTGTAAAGTACGTTTCATGTGTTCCTAGCCTTTTCATTGATATATATATATATATATATATATATATATATATGATGTGGTGCACATTTACGTTGTTTCGGTGATATCTTCGCAGTTAAGTCTCATTAATATTTTTACATTCTGTTCTTACTTTGCCATTAAGAGAAGTAGAGTGTTTTGTTAGTAAAACATTTAAACAGTGAAGTTCACAAAACATATATCTAGCTTTCCTTCTTTGGCTAAAAGTGTGGTAAACGTATTGCAACACATTTGATATATATATGTAAATGTATATATAACATATTAGCTTGAAGGTGTCATTGATATATTAAAATCATAACTCGTAATCTTCATTCTACAAAATTCCCTCTATAAATATTTCCTCCACTATGCTCACCAATACAATCTAAAAGTTTTGTAATGTATTCAGAAGCTTTCAAAATGAAATTCATTCGTTTGTTCTTAAACAATGAGATTATTTCAAATGTATCTTTATGCATACCTATATAATCACTAATTTATGCAAAAGTACCTAAATTATAAATTATAATTATGGTTATCTTTAATAAAAAAAATTTTACATCTAAGTTTAATTATACTTCCTCTTTCTATAAAATTTTAACTGTTTAGTACGAAAAAGTACATTACAAACATTTAAAGTTAAACATTTACATAAATTCAATTTTAATATGGAAAATATGAATTTTTAATTTATTCAACATCCGCAGCGTAAATTACATTTATGAAAAAAAAGAAAAGAAAAAAGAAAATAACGATGATTAGATGAAGAAGAAAACCTGAGAAACGAAAAAAACACCGAGAAAAAAAGACGAAGAAAAGATAAACGAAATAAAATGTTCCGTAGGTTTATACAAAATATCTTTAATATTTTTTTGTTATTTTAAAGTAGTTAAATAATGTATGATTTTTATGTTGGTGTGTATTGGCTAAGTGTTGTTGTTCTAAACAGACCAATATGTATGTATTTAATTAAATTCTGTTGTTAGTAAATTGGAATTTAAAATTCATTTATTACAAACCAATGATTAGACGAGAAACTATGGATTATTATTTACCTAAACGACTGATTTATTACTATTATTATTTTTTTTATTGGTTATTTATATTTAATGTGACTCGTTAATAAATGTTTACATGTCAGGAATATGGCTATTAAATTCTTTAACATTTGAGCACAAGTAATTAGCCAATTAAAACAAGATGGTCGCGCAATTTTGTGGATTGGTTAAGGTTAGACATTAACACCGTTGTATACCGGCTCAGTGGTCTAGAGGTTAAGCGTTTATGCACAAGACTAAAGGCTCTGGGTTCGTGGATGCACACTATCGAGAAGTACCACATTAGGACGAAACCTTTGTCCAGTACCTCCAGATTTTTAATGGTGGTCTAACATCAATCGGTTCAATGAAAAATCAAAACAAGCATAGAGGTTCAACGCAAGTAAAAAGAAATATAACTTTGGATATGGCTCGTTCGAAATTGTATGCTTGAGAGTATTAAATGTTAATATTCATTACATTATAGTAGCTTTAACCCAAAACTTGCTTAAACATATTTGAACTTATTAAGACATTGAATAAAACGACCTAGGAAATAGCTTTTATTTTAGTCCATAATAACTTGCTTATACTTTGATATATATATATATATATATATATATATATATATATATATATATATATATATATCATTATGCTTGCAGAAAGAGGCCTTTGTGACTGATTCCATTAAATACACTATCTGTTTATTTTTATTACTCGCTTAAATGTTCATTAACGAAATACTTGATAACTTATTCGTTTACGTATATATGTTTTCCACTAGTTCAACCTTTTATTTTCAATATTCTAAGTGAAATATTCATTGAGCTTGTGATAAGTTGCTTTTATTTCTGACTGAAATATGATTTTGTCTGGATGTACAGATAGTGAGTGCTAATAAAAATTGGCTTGCACTGATTTCTTCGTTCAATGTTGTTCAAATGTATTATTTACCATTGTTTTCTCTTCTAAACTGTAAAACATAATTCTGAAATCAGGACCATCAAAACAATTTGAATATATTATTAAATCATTATGAAATTTCAGTCATTTTGTTTGAGTTCTTAGCAACAAACAAGATCTAATGTGTAGAATAACCGACTAGGAATTTATTGACGATCACCAAATATTATTAGATCTTAATATAGTTTCTTTTAGTACTCTAAAGTGAATAGCTTTGAGTTGAAGCACCATACTGAGAAACAAAATACCTAATGGATACCAAGCCTACTTTGGTCAGTGTATCTCAAAATGAAGTTATGCTATGAGCAGTCTAATTTGTTTTACCATTGGTACGTTATAAACTGCTACTCGCAATCCCAATCCATGTAGATATATTTCCTCCCTTTTCTACAAAACAATCTTCACTGCATATTAATCTGTTTAGTCTTACTTAATATTCCTAGTAGTATCTCAGTGTACGGGACATAACTCTTCTATGTGAATAAAGAAAGACACGTTTCTAAAGGAGGAATAACAATGTTCAAGATACGTAATAACATTGCACTTCTTAGAAAGAATAACAGAGTAAGATGATTGAAGGTAAAGAAGACTCATTATCGCAAATGTGATATAAGATATTACGTAGTAGGACAATAAAAAATATACGGATTACTAATGTAATAAGAGATTTACAACCCTTTCTTAGGATCCTTTTTTTCAACATTTTAATTGTAACAGTATCGGCGTAACGTAGTAAATCCAAAGTTTTTTGGGTACTGATTATGTGGACGATTTTATCATAACAATATCGTATCCACCTACCAAGCAGATGGCGGGGTATAGAAATGTTGAAAATATTTTGACATTTTGATATCATTTTTTTGATAATTGTGCTCTTCAATGCAAGCGGGAACCCCCCCTTTCTGTTCTGCTGATGTAAGTACTTTGGCACAAACTTGTAAACTGGTAATTCTCTTAATTTGCATTAGATGTATATTATGATACTTTGTTAAATATACCTAAACACCTAAAGGTATATTTTTATTACTCATTTTTATATGACCATTTAAATTTACCATTGAACGATTGTTTGGTTATTTAGAACGTACATACCATTTTCAGTTGATGCCTTTGAATGTCGAAATTGAGTTTTACACAATCTAAGACACCGGCTACTGTTATACACTTCATTTATTCACCTTTGCATAGCTTGAGAGCAAATTTATTGTAAGCTACAGTTTGCTTAACTGATTGGTTAATATATTTGAAATAAAATGGATTCAATTCGTAGTTATCTAGCCCGATAAGCAGTTGCCGAAACGATACTTTTGTATTTACTTAACTGAAGTTTTAAAGAAAAAGTTGAATAGCATGCTAAATACTATTGGATGAGGCTATACATTAAATGACTGAATAGGCAATGATATTGAAATGACATCAAAGTAGTACACAAGTTTCTGAAAGCATTTTGTTGAAACAAGCTATTAACTGATTTGATATTTAATACATAAAAGGTGTTAGCTTACGTCGAATCCAGATTCGTTTCCTTGTTGTTTTCTCTGGGCCAACTTGATGTCGAACAGCACACACTAAATCTAAACCATGCATTGTTGAATTAAGATTTGTAATTTTTAGTCGGCTCAAAATTTTTTCATCTGTAATTTGGTTGATTACATTTTCATTCGTAATAGAAATAACATTCTTTATTGATGGTATTTGTAAATCATTTCTAAAAACGTTTAACTGATCTAGGTTCATATTAGAATAAGGATTTTCGAAGCGCCATACAACTTGACCAGGAGGATTTCCAGGTGGAGTCACTCTACATGTAACTTCAACTGTTAAACCAACAAGTAAGCTTGTAGATTCATTTGTGAATTTATCCCAGTCAATAATTTCTGGATCACCTGGTAAAGCTAGAAATAAAGTGGTATTCAGAAATATGTAAAAGTATTAAGTTAAACCGTATAAGGTGAAAAGGAAAATAAGGCGAGACTATAATTTACGGACGAACCAATAAAATAAGATAACGGGTCTCGGATTTTGGCACGAAATTCACTGATCCATTTGAATAAATAAAGTTTTGGCATTATAGCTAGTATCAGTTAGTGATGTAAATTATAATTCTAATTCCACACACAGGTTCATAACCCTTATTTGGTCCTGCTTATTAGGATGACACTATCAAGGTCAATCTGGCGTCGCTCAAAGGTCGTCCATAAATTATAGTCTCACCGAAAATAAATTTAATTATGTCAATCAAAAGTTTTTATTTCTTATTATTAGACGAAGTAACTGATGCAAGGAATACGTTTAAGTAATTATGAAATACCAATTCGCCAAAGGCTTAGCTTCTATGAATTTATCATTTTAATCTGTAATGATATAAGTTTAATTAAGGTTTTGTCTTTTTTAAATTATTTTTTACTGGGTTCACTATGCTCATCTAATTTTGTACGATTATTTGGAAGCCATAGATCTTGAACATGGTGCATTTGAAAATAGGGACTTCCATAAAATAACTATGCCGTTACAATGTGAATAGTCGTGACCCATTACAATTTTTGAGCTATGTATTTTCTGTTTATATAAATAAATAAGTTGTTTTACGAACAGTCGGTTTGTTACATAATTTACTTGGTGAATACTGAAATACTCAAGCAGGGACACTTGATTGTTGTGTACATGTTCCTACTCATTTAATGTATGATGATACAAATGTAACTATACTACAACACATTCATGGAAAAAAGTATTGTTAGTGCTCCACTAATAGATAGAGAAATATATGTAAAATGGCGTAAACACTGTGCTGTCCGATAAACTTAAACAGTTAAATAAAAATCACTACTGCGAAATTTTATTTTATATTTTTGTTGTCCAAGTCTTTAATGGTGGAAATTCTACGATGAAATATTTTACATTTCAAGCCAAGACAACTGTATTGAGTGATCTGATAATAATAATAATGACAATTGGGTATGAACTGTTTAGTTGCTTCTCATAAATGCCAGAATTAATAAACAACTATATTCAAAGAGAATTACAACAAGATTTCTAATTTCAATAGATTATTATGATTCAATTTGAATTCTCCACTTTATTTTACACAATCTATTTCTCAATTTCCTTCTAGGTACTGGCAAATTTTCAAAGTAATAAAACCGTAATAAATATATAATGCAATATATTTTTTCTAAAAAAGAAGGAATATATTTTTCATTCAGACTGATGGCAGCTTTATTATTCAGCACTATTAACTCTTTTTGTTTTTTTAATTGCATAAATGTCAATCATTAGTTGATTTATTCAAAAGTAAACTATGAAAATTGTCATAGTAACAATGATAAGATTACAAGAAAGAAAAATAAAGAAAACAAGACATTCAGCAAATCTCTAAAGAAACTATTAATTAATCAAGCGGAGAATTATAATTCACGCAACACATGATACACTCACACATTCCTTTTTTTCTCCATTTTAATCCTTACAGAAACCTATTTAACTTGGAGAAAAAAATATATACACTCTGTTCCATTGTTTGTAAAATAGTTTTTTTTCTATTTTACTGGTCAGTTTTTATTGTTCAGAATGTAACTTGGAAAAGAGAAAAAAAGAATCAAGTTTATTTTAATATTTAAAATGATTTAAAGTTTTAGTTATTTTGTAAAAAAAGGATCAGAAAAAATGTTTGTTTCCATGGATGGTTTGTTAAAAAGTGGGATATTTGAAAAGTTTTAATGGTTATAACCAAATTCATATAATGTACAACGGGAAGACGAGGCGAGACTCTAATTTATGGACGAGCCAATCAGAGGCGTTTTAGGGATTTCAAGGTTACGGCGCCAACTTCAGTGCTTAATGCTAACGTACATTCGGTTCACAGGGAATTTTGTACATAACAAATTAAACGGTGGGACTATAATTTGTGGACGAATCAATCAGGTATAAGATAATATATATCGGATTTCAACGCGAAAGCCTTTCATCCATTTGGCTAAATAAATTTCTGGCATTATAGCTGATGTCAGTTCGTGATGAAAACCCCATATACAATTCCTAACTAAGGCAAATTACGACAATTATTGGGAAGTGGATAATAAAAGCACCAGTAACACTGGCTACAGCTAGGTACTACAAAATATATACGGATTTTATTCATTATGTAATCAATTGTTTCTAACCCACTTTTGAACTGTTGTCACAATTAATGTTGTAGAATATTCTTTCACATTAGGTATATATTTACAATATTCAGTAAGCAATTTAAACCCATTATGTAATTATGATTTTTAAATATCACAGGTTGTAAGTAGCTGACGAGAACTTACGAAATAAAATGAATTCATGCTATTCTGCTAGAATCTTTGTTCTTCCTCTTTTCAAAATGATAAAGGGAACTATGTGTATGAAATTATTTTATTAAATAATTTTATTTTTTAGAAAAAAAAAATTATTTTAAGAAGTGAATAAAACTATTGATGAAATAACATTGTAATTTAATGAATATAAACATCATATAGTTGGTACTTTATTAAATGTAGGAGGTAGAAATGTCTGAGACTTTGTTTTGTTCATTGGTAGTAAATGATCCTTTTTAAGATTTTTGCTTCATACAATTTGTAATTTGTAAATTCACTTCATTTACTTAATAAATATTCGTAAAATTTCATTTGAGGTGTCTGAAAACTATTTTTTTCAATTTAACTACTTGATTTTGTTCCTTAGTAAACGAAATACACCCATTAAGACACTAAATAAGAAAGATTAGTTCAGCGAAGAGTTCTGTTTTCAGTGAATTCATTTTCAAAGCTGTACAATCGCAAATATATATGCTTATTATTTCAGAATGATAATAATAACTATATTTCATATTCTTAGCTGAGGTAGCAGCAGCCATACATCTAGGAAAACTAGAACGGTGTGTCAAAATGAGATTGGTACAATCTTTTCTTCTACCATGGTCTTAATGTCATGTAACTTTTATCTTCATACTCTTCTTCCGTTATGGACATCTGCTCCTCCTTCCATCTTCTCCTTAAATCTTCAATCCACAACGGGTTTATTTCTGTTTCTATGATCCTCCTGATTACATTTAATCTTAATTTCAACATTTTATCTTATCATGCTGAGCTATCCTTTCCCATTGATAATTTTCCCTATCAATGTTTTATGAATACATAAGCCATTAACAATCAAATGATTATTAAACTTTCCTTGCCTTATAAAGAAATTTTTTATTAATACCTTTGTGTATTTAACATTATTGTCACAATGTCTAATAGAAGTTTTTTATCAGTATTATTATCATCCTGTAAACATAAGTATATATATTTGCGACTGTATAGCCTTGAAAATGAATTCACCGAAAACAGAACTCTTCGCTGAACTGATCTTTCCTATTTTGTTTCCACTAGGTTTGTACTCTGTTGTTTTCTATTTCTCTTTATATATAAAATCATTGAGATCCTCTTTGTTGTTGTTGTTGAATTACATATTTATTTGTATTTTGTTATTTTCAAACTGAAGAGATGAATGATAGTTTTCCATATTTAGTTGATGTATATTAAATTCATTGAAATTATTAGTTGTATGACAGATGACAATCTAACCTTTACTTATATGTCATCTATCAACTAATAATTGTGACATATTGCATAATTAATCAAATTTGTCAATTCATTTTGTATAAGAATAATCACTGAGGATTCAATTGACCAAATGATTTTATCTTATAATCAGAATAATAGTTGCACAATGGTGATTAGCAAATCTTTGAAAAAAACTTTGTTACGTTTACTGATAAACTAGGAAATGTTTATGAATGTTCTTTAAATATATTAGGAAAATTGTTGTTAGGGATAACAATCAGGTTTTGTGTAATATTGTACATATTAATATCTAGTTTCTACAAATTAGTATCAAAAATTCACATAACTCACAGTGGATAACAATCATCACTTCAGCTCTAAGCTTTTGTTCATATAGGTGATTTGAACGCATTGTTGCTTTGTTACTGACTAGGCACACAATACGATCTCGAGTTGAAAGTTTTGTTTTATCAATTTCCAATTCAAACTGATCTTTAGTTATTTTTGGTGAATGTATTTCTTCATTGACATTCTGTAATTCATCTAAATCCCCTGATGCTGAAATAAGGTTTCCATTATGAAACCATTCAAACTTCGGTGTAGGATAACCGCCTTTCGCTTGACAAATTAATTTTAATGGATTGTTATTCATGGGATTCGTTTTATTGGAATCAAAAGCTACAATCAATTGTCCATTGGCTGATGGTTGTGGTACACCCGGTAAAGTCACAATATTGGGTATTTTCGGTTTTACTTTACAAAGAACAAATAAACCCCACTATTTAATTGAATATAATTCATTCGTATTTTAAATTATATATATAATATACTATGCAAACACCATTGTATTTAGAAAAAATTTCGTGTTCTAAATTTTAATACTGACCCTATTGAGCAACTCATATATTAGTTAAATAAATGTTACTGTTACGTTAATACCAATAGATCCTCGATAAATTCTGTTCTTGGCTATTGACAGATGTCTTAATTATATGTAGATCTATATATGGTAAGTAGCAACTTAGCACAAATCATTCGTCCTCGTTTAGAATGATCAGAAATGTCTGAAGTAAATATGTTTGAACAATGAAATTTTTTCAGCTATTCTTAGTTCTAGATTTTAATTTGTATATATGTGCAACGAAGCTCGAGCAACCAATAACGGAGCTTAAACGTTTGCTTGGGAAAATTTTGATGCAAAGATTATCAATGATATGGTGACTTTTTTGCTAAGAATTTGCTGCACATGCATTTGCAATAAATAAAACCGATATTTTAAATACGTCAGACAGTAAATGACTCTAAATAATCTGCTTTAAACAGCCATCTCTCTTTTTCGACAGCGTCAAGTACTATTGTAGTTGCAGTAACCATAGAAACTTTCGTATAAAAAGTTTCACATATTGTAGTTTCTAATCAAAATAATATAAACGTAAGATACCATAAAATCGAAATGTTTCACAAGATTTAGACAATTATAAACATTTTTGATTTAATTAAGTTTAATACTAGGTTATAAATCATCAACCTAATAAAACAATACATGTTCATTAGAATGTATATTATTTTAATAAATTTTACTAAATACTGAGAAGAGAAATTAGTGATGATTTTGTATTAAGCTTGAATATGGACAGTAAATAACTACCAATTTGTTTGGTGACAGATGAACGTCTACTTTACTTCAGGCAATAAATATTCTGTTCACCGTTATAACAGTTCATTAGTGATCAAAGTCGACTTCAAAACCGGTCGCCGTCGATAGTGACAAACTCTTGAGATGAGATCCGCATGAATATCGCACATATCAAATAATCACATCCGACTGCATTTACCAGCTTACATGTTTTTATTGACATGGTTCAATAAATAGGAGTCAAAAAGCCCAAGTTGTTGGGACACAGGCTTAAACGGTTCCATAGTTGTCCATTGTCACAAATCAACATGAGTCAGTATAGTAGACAGACAGGGTCCTCTAAAGCAAGATTATAATTTAAAGAAGTTGTGATATTGACAGTGAGATATCTGTAGACCTTTACACAGAAATTATCAGTGTAGGGGGGATTGTTAGATTCGGAGAAGTATTAAGCATCAGGAATTTTAAAGCTTACTTTTGCCTACAAAGGCAATTTATTCCAACTATGATCTCCGTAAGCTATGTGGTTCCCAGAAGTGTTGCGAACACTTCTTATATTATCCGTATGATATTTTTTATTACTTTCCTGTGTTTCTCACTAAATTTTAATATGGAAAGATAACTTTTGAATAGTAAAGATCACTTAATCAAACATTTACTCTCAAGGCTTTTAATTTTTATCCTGGTTATATTTAAAAAAATGGATTTCTAACGATTACAAAAATTTTAAGCTACCCCATTGTTTTAAAATATGAATTAAAACGGTGAAAGAACTTAATATTTGATATTCACAGATTTAAATACCTAGTATAACTAATAGGGTTTGACGTCGAAGAGGATTTTGTCCAGCAACAGGTGAAACTTGACATTCATATACTCCAGCATCTTCACGACTAACATTTTGAATTAGTAAATCATGTACACCTTGACCTGAATCGCCTTGTAACGAATATCTTGGCCAATCTGGAATATTTCTTTTGTAACCTGAAACGAAAAACAAACAGTAAAAGTTTGAAAAATAAACTTATTTCTGTAATTAGGTAAGTCAAACTGTGTATTACAATTCTCGTCAACCAATAAATAACTTTCAGATACCTACATTCAAATCGAACAATTAGTAATATGAATTATTGAACAAGGTCGTATTGAAAAACATCTCATCTAAACAAGCAATCGTCAAACACGTTTCATCACTTTGTATTTTACCGATTGTGACTTAGATAGCATTCATAATGAAAATTCAGCAAACATATAAGTACAAGAATATATGAAATTGAGTGTATGATTCTTTGTTGTAAACGCGTTTTGAAATATCAGCGCCTGAATAACATTTGTAGATTTTTACATCATTTAGACACTTAGTGCAGGCAGGTATGGATAGCAGCTAGTAAAGGGATCCAAGACGAGAGGTTCTTCATATTTGAGCCTCGTCAGCTGGGTGTTTCATCATTCGAGTTGATGTTCACTCAAGTACTGGAACCCCATTCCCTTCGCTTCAAACACCATCGCGTTGGCTATTTAGCTACTGAGTCTAGATTCAAACAACCAATACAATACGTATTAGGTACTCCATTCTATTTGTATAAACTAAGTTTTAGCTGAAATAACCAAGTATCTGAGAATGTTTACTTCCATAATACATCGTCAGCAAGCAAAAACAATTGAATAATGGGTTTGGAATATAATATTGAAAGTTAAATACAAATGAATGATGAGTAATAAAGAACTAAGTCATCTCGAATAAATTGAGCATTGGGTTGATTGTTATAAATAAAAATAATATATTTGTAATATCCCAATGAGTAGAAAATTGGATTTTCTCTAAGCCACGAAACGTCAGAAAATCCAATTTTCTACTCATTGGGATATTACAAATATATTATTTTTATTTATAACTAAGTAATCTGTTGAAACATTCTACCTGCTTACTTACTCCTGTTACCGCTTCGTCGAGGAGTATAGACCAACCATCATCATTATTCATCCAACTTTGTCCTGGAAGATCCTTTCCACTCGTTTCTAGTTGCTTTTGAGTCTTTTGATGTCTGCTTCTTATTTCAAAAACAATGAGTTCCTTAGTCTTCCTCTTTTCCTCTTCCATTCAGTATACCGATTTCAGGCTTGCCTCATGATGCAGTTTGCTGATTGCCACAATGTATTTTCCATCCACCTCCAGCGTCTTTACTGACTTTGATGTTGGTTGACAGTTGTTTTGAGTTCCGTATATTCTTCATGTATGAGAAGACTGTTATTGTTTTGCCAATCCCTGGTTTTACGTCTGCATCGGATCCTCCTTGTTCATCGATAATGCTGTCTAGTTAGGTAAGTGAAAGTTTCCACCTATTCCAGAGTTTCTCCATCAGGTGTGATTGGGTTGGTGTTTTCCATGTTGTAATTCGGGATCTTGCCTTTTCTTTGTGTATGGTGAGGCCTACTTATTCAGAGGTTGCTGTTACACTGGTTGTCGTCATTTATATTTGTTGATGCGTATAGAATAGAAGAACTAGATCTTCTGCGAACTCCAAATCATGTAGTTTCATCCAATCTGTCCATTTTATTCCGTGATTCCCCTTACATGTGTAGGTCAACCACCAGAAGAAAAAGAAAGGAGGGGAGTAAGCAGATTTATCTGACTCCGGTCCTCACATGGAATGCATCTGTCAGTTGTCCTCTATGCACAACTTCGCAGTGTAGTCCGTCCTATGAATTACAGATGATTTTGGCAATATTCTCATGTATACCGGGGTATCGAATAAGATTTTATTTATCCCCGCTATCAAATGCTTTTTCATAGTCGAAATGAAATATTCTAACTAATATATATATATATATATATATATATATATATATATATATATATATAGTCACGTGGATATACTACTTAAGAAAACATTTATTTCACGAGACACAATGATTCTTTTGTTTAATTTTGTTTAACTTTTTTCCACGTAACCACTATTAAATTAGAGTTTTTGGCTCACTAATGTTAATAAATATCTGTGAAAACATTTCCTAAAAATAGTATTATTTGTCTCTTGTATGATAATAGATTTATGTTCCAACAAACAACGGAAATAGATATTCAATATGTAAGAAGAATATAATGTATAATAGTAAGAATCGGAATTTTATTTAGATTGTAAAACTATGTGAAAGTAATTTAATAAATGGTGAAACGATATCTGTAAGAGATTAAATAATACATTCTAGTCTTGGAATAAACAATTTAAATAGTAAATGAATTCAGTAATTAGCATCCCAAATATTTATGATAAAAAAGACTTATTAAACGTTTTTGCTCTTGTGGAAGATACACTTTGATGATTTTTTGTAAAAAAATGTTGAACAATGATACACTTTCATTAGAAAACCAAACATGTCTTCAGTTAAATAATACTACGTGCACTAGGATGAAATAGTCTTGAGATCTTGAACTTATTTATCGGTTTAATTCAGCTTATATAGGCTCATATGTAATATTCAGTTCTTTTATATCTTCAAGTGAAGTCGATACGTTCATTACTAACAGTTTGTTTGGGAATTAACCACAAAACAAAAAATGAATTTTTTTTAAACGGTGTTTGTGTAATCAAAACAAGATGGACTGATTTACGTATTGATTTTAATTTGAAGTAAATTATCAAAATACAACATAGATGAAGAAGGCATTAGACCTTATATGTCAGCATACCTTATTCTTTGGTTTGTGACATGAGACTATACCAGATAATTGACTAATTTTAGGCAACATTACATTGGATTTTAGTTATAAGAACAAAAAGGAGATTATATTGGAAGATGACAATTTTGTTCAGTTGATTTAATTTTTTGATAGGTCTTGGGTTCTAATCTTGCGGGGCGGGATTGTGGATGCGCATTGTTGGAGAGTCCCATACTGGGACGAAACGGCCATCCAGTGCTTGCAGGTTTTTCATGATGGTCTAGCTTCAATTGAATTATGATTTCAACTATTAGAATAATTATTTATCATCTCTAAATTGTGTATTGTTTATCTTAGCTAAAATTTATTATAATAAAAGATCTGTTTATCTAAAATGGTCTTATTAATAATCATTGTATCAAAATAAATAAATAGTAGATACAGTACATATTCTTAATAACATATAGAAATAAACAAATAAATTTATCAAAAGAGAAAAAATTCACTGAACCAAACCTATTTGAAAATGTTTTCAACCTTTCTAATACATGTAAATAGGGTTAGTAAAAGTTATATATGAATATATATTTTCCATATTTAAACAATGGTAATCAAATCATTTTAATGAAATAGAAAGTTACTCATAGAAATGTAAACTAATAAGAGATTGATCAATTACAGTCCGAAACATTAATGAGGAGATTCAAGTAAACAATACCAAGTGAGTGTAAACTTCATCTCATTGCACAAGCAAGTGGCTATCAGGAGTCAGTAGCTAAGTATATCACGCAATGGCGTTTGAAGCGAACAGTATTGGTCTGGAGTCTCAGAGTGAACATTAACTCTGAGATGCAGCTACATACAGCTGACGAGTCCAAAATATGACAAAACGCGCGTCCTGCATTCCACTGCTAGCCACCATCAATCTTTGCTTAAAATTCTCCTTACTTAAGGCAATATCGATGCAATCCGTACAGGACGCACATGTGTCAATAAGAGATTGATCAATTGCAGTGTTAAACATCAATGGGAAGATTCAAGTAAAAAATACCAAATTAATCAAGTATATTGTTTTAACTCATAATAAATAACTGTCTCAGGTTGAAATCATGAGTCAGTTGAAGCTAGACCACCATGGAAAACCTGGAAGCATTGGACGGCCGTTTCTTCCTAGTATAGGACTCCTCAGTGGTGCGCATCCACGATTCTGCACCCCGCGGGATTCGAACCCAGGACTGCTGAGGAGTTCCATACTAGGACGAAACGGCCGTCCAGTGCTTTCAGGTTTTCCATGGTGGTCTAGCTTCAATTGACTCATGTTTTTAACCTGTGAAATTTCTAAAAATCTCCACAAAACCCATTCTCAAAATAACTGTCTGTAAAACAAATAATCAAAGAATTTTAGAGTATTTGTATGAATTCTATAAATAAATAAATAAAAATACATATGTTATAGTTTGAACCGCTTTCATTTATTGTTATTCATATACAATACATATACATTACATTAAAACCATGAGCAATGATTTGTACATAATCTTTTGAATTATGCTGTATTTTTCATACATATGAAATCAAAAACTATCTTATTAAAATCAACTGTTATTAATTAGTGATGAACAGTTCTTAAAAAGAAATATAATATGAGTCAATTTGTTTAAAGATTTCTTTACCCAAGGTGGAAAAAATATAAAAAACCTCTTATAGTAAACGAAAACATTGACGAGGATAGTCAAATTATTGATAAAGGCGAAATTACAAAGTGGCTTTCACATTGTTCTTCATTTGTCCTTTATATGCTCTATGGTTCCTTCAAATTCTCTGATTCCCTTTCTGCTGTTCCGAAATTCAATTTTTTTCAACTTTCTACGCTCAGGAGCTCCACTACATACTGCTCATATTTATCAACATAATTAACATATACCATGCTATGCTTTTCTATAATGGTCTTTACAAACAATGTGTTAATACATTTCAATTGTAAATCTTATTTCTTGAAATAAAGTACGCATTTTCATTCATTGTTATTGGATAAAATATGACAGTAGGCTTTGTATCTTTATATTTCCCGAAATAGGTTTATCAACACATAAAATCTATTTAGATAAGATTGTTATTCATAAAAAAATTAATGAATTAAGTTGACTGATTGACCCAAATGACAATGTCATTGAATAACTGGATTGTAGTACATAGAAAGTGACCACATATATATACCAAGAAATAGTTCAAGAAAGTAAATATGTAGTAAACGAGAACACAAATGAGAACAATCTAAAGGATTTGAATACAAAATTATAGAACATCTTAGTAAAATGTGAGA